ATTCGTTTAGTTCTTAACGAAGCATGCACGCCTTGCCTTGACGTCAAAGGTTTTCACGACAGAGCCCCGCTGGACAACACGGCTCCTGTCGTGTGAAATGATTTCAATCCCCTTTAAAAACTAAACGCACGTTCCATCAAATGTTTAAACGGTGTTCCTCTTCGTACAGTTTTCTATTTTGATCTTAGTACTTAAATCACTTTTTTTTTTTTTGAAACTTGAAAACTTTGTTTGATTGCTGGCCATCCCAAATTTCCTTATAAAGAGAGTATAAATGTGGGTTCGGCTCCAGGTTGTACTTAGTAAACCACTTAACTCCAGATATTGTATGAAAAACATTGGTCATTTTTTAAAAAACAAAAATTGATTTAAAGTTGTTTACATCTGTCTTTAGAAATTATTATTTTTAATCTATTTTAAAAATGAAAAATATAACTTTAAATCTAAATAAAAAAAAAAAAATAAAAAAAATTATACGACTATTTAATTTTTGGATCACACAAAATAAAACCCTAATCGCCAGGTACAATATATAAAATATTGTTTTCTTTAATTCGGGGAAATACACATAACAGTTAAAATTTTACCACGTGTTTTAACTATAACAAAATAATGTATTCTTGATGTCAGTGTTAATATGTTTTGTGTACATTTAACAAAATAATGGGGATCGCTGAGCTATTTAAAAAAAAGAATCAACCGCATTCTCTAGATCAGTGGTTCCCAACCTTCCTAATGTGACGCTTTTATACAGCTCCTCATCTTGTGGCGACCCCTAACCCCAACAAATTTTTCGTTGATACTTCGTAACTGTGGAGTATATGTGTTTTGCGATTGTCTTAGGCGACCTTGTGAAAGTGACTTTTGACCCCCAAAGGGGTCGCGACCCACAGATTTAGAGCCGCTGCTCTAGATGATGACCTCTGTCTACCATGTGACATAATCTCACGCGTGTCTCATTTTTTTGGACGCACTCACGATCAATAAATACCCAAGAAATTGCTGGACTGTCCACCAGTTGTGTACATCGTCCAAACCAGGCGCATGTAAGTTGAAGAATTTAAAATAACTTGTGAGACAGACTTTAACATTGATTTTTTCAAATGTATGATTTTTTTTTTAATCCTCATAATTATTTACGATGTATTGTTTTCTCTCAATTCACCAATTGCTTCATTATTGCAGCAAAATGAACTGCCTATTCGCCATTCTCGTTTGCCTTCCGGTCTTCACCCTGTGCCAACCCAACTGGGTTGCCGTTGAACTGGCCCTCTTCCGTCATTTCGACAGCAATGCTGACGGACATCTGACAAGGGTTGAAGTTAGCTCTTACCTCAATGTGAGTTGTTGGTGTTGCTTTTTTTTTCTTTTTTTAATTACACTATTTATTTGGATTTTATGGTCTAAGGATAATTATTTGTTTAATGAAGAGCTTAACTATCCTCGAACAATAAGTTGATCGTATGTGGAGAAATTAATTATATCTTAGCTGACATAGTAGACCGTAAGTAAATTGAAAGACTTGTTTAGATATTTTAAAACTCCATCGATATATTTTAAGTTATTAAAAAAAGTAAATTTCTTTTATTCGTTATAGAATATGCCATATTTACTTACCCTTTTTGCATATGAAAATGCATATCGACATGTAACATTGAAAATTTTGAAGTCGTCCATCGAAGTCATGACTTGAGATTGTCTAGACGACTGAAGGGCGACACTGCAAGGTACATCCTAAACGCTGGAAAGACATCAACTAAGGGTCGTTGTTTTTTTTAATTTTTTTTTATTGATTTTGTTTGTTTTCTTCAATCTTTCCATCAGACCTTCGACACCGACGGTGACGGCCAAGTGTCCAGACAAGAGTACAACGCCCACATCAACGCCCAGTACAGCCACGACCCAACCACCCAGCGTGAGCTCCACGCCCTCTTCGACGACCTGGACACCAACAACAACAACAATCTGAGCACAGCAGACTACACGGCTCTCTTCGACGACGCTGACGCCAACGCCAACAACCAGGTGTCCGCTTTGGAATTCAACAGGTAAGCCGTCATCGAACTGAGAGCATTTAAATTAAAATATGCTATAATCGATTAAGTCTAAAATGTAGGTCAATATATTTTGAACAGCAGTGTGTCTTTTGAGATCGTAATAATTTTTATTAATTGTCTGATCTATAATAATTATATGCTTATTTTTTTTAAAATAAAATATTAGAGTCTTTGAGCGAAGATTACCCGTAACAAAAATTTGTGTTGAAAAAACTGTTGTTTCCACTTTTTAAAATTTAAATCAGGAAAGGTATTCATATTTGAGAGAATTCTAGATAATGATTACTGTATCATTTCATTTCAGGTGGTTTCATCAGGCCGTTGGCTCAGGTTTCATCGGTTGAAGATATCTCGAACATAAAACTTGACTTTTTGGACGTCTAAACAGATGTGTTCATAATTTCATATAATAAATTCAATATTGAATTCGCTTGCACACTGCTCAGAGTTCTTGATTCTTTCTACATAAAAAAAATTGTTTTCGCAGCTTAAAACTCATCATGTATTGCCATTTGTATGTAAGTTGTTTTTTAAATAATTTTTTAAAATTAGTATTATTATTTTTTTTTTTTTATTTGATTTTGAAATATTTTTTCATACACAAATAATAGCGTCGATAAGGTGCTGAAGTTATAAATTGGTCATCTGTGAACTACAAATGTAGATGAGTAAGTTGTCTTTGTAAACGAAAACAGTGGAGACTATACGATGATAATTTTTTTTTTTTAAAAAGCAATTCTTTTATGTGCATTAAGTAGAAAATAGGTAAACATGGATGTAGCTCAAAACCAGATCGTTGGATAACAGCGATGTAGATTAACCAGAATGTTGGTTATCAAAGATAGTGGTTCAATTAGATTGTTGGTTAAGTTGGATGTGGTTTAACCAGATTGCTGTTCTTAGATTGTGATTTTCAGAAACAAAAAGAGCAAAATTAAACGGAAAATATCTGAAAAGATACATATAGTGAACATGGCTTTTTTAAGGACAATCATTTAAGTATATAGAACTAGGAGTAAACATTGTGGATAGCTGTGGATAACAAATACTTTACAAGTAATACAAAGTGTGACCATCATTCAATGAACATGGGGGATAGCACTGGATAAAACAGGTTATTCAAAGTAAATAAAAAGCGGAACACGATATCATCCTTTATTCAAAGTATGACCAACATACATCAAGCTATAAAGATCTTTTTCTCCTGTTGGACAATGTAGTGGAACAGCAACGATGATTAACTAGAAAAGTAGACGCGTCATGGGTATCATAAGGGCACATAAAATAATCCACAAATAATATCTAATCAATACAGATGCAATGCTGTGGCGTTTAGCCTAAATGAGAGGTGCGCAGTTTTGCGCTCCGAATTTACTTGAGATGTGAGTGAGACTGGTACAATATCAACATATTTTTTAATAGAAAATATTCCAAACCCACTTTAAAAGCTCTGAGATTTTCGATGACTGAGAAAACCTACAACTCTAGATACTTGGCTATTAACAATGAAAATTTCACCCAAGTGGGTCTATGTAATATTTTTAACACATGGCAGTGCGTTCAGCTCGAACACTATATAGTTTAATCCTTAGTTGGATTATGCTCTACACGCTAAATCTGTCTCAGACAGTGCCCCATTTCAGCACATGTTAAGTACCGATAAAAGCTATAGCGATTAGCTGTAAACGCACGCACACTTGTGGTCCATGCAGGACACTGCACGCGGCAGTATGTTTAGCTTGAGCACTATATAATTTAAGCATTGGTTGGATACTGGTGTTTATACGATAAATCTCATTGAGACATGGCACATTTCAGCATCTGTAAATAGAACCGACATAACTTTTAGCTGAGTTGTTGGATGTAAACACAAGCACACGTAGAGTCTACACAAAACATAACACATGCCAGTATGTTTCACTAAGGCGATAACCTTATAAAGTAATTGAATTAAAACAGATCTTAACATGATCAGTTTATGTAAATGATGGTAATAAGGGGAAGAGACTGAAATCAGGTTAGCAAAAAATGAAAAAGAATTTACTGAAACAAAGTATGACAAAACCTGAAAAGGGAACGCAACAAAATATCGAGCGTTTCGGCATGAAGCCTTCGTCAGCAAACAAACAACAGTAAAAACAGATTTAATTTTTTTTTTAAATAGCACTTATCTGAAAAGCAGCATCAGAGGAGGCGGCAAGCCAAAGCATTGTGACAGAAAAAAAAAACTTAGGTGAGAGATTAAATACAGGCAAAAAGAGGGGAAAGATGAGATGAGACGTAAGTTATGTATTTGTATTTATTAAAAGGCTCCAAGGGTATGACGAGCATGAAACAACGTGCAGATGACTACGTCCCCATCGGGATATCAAGGATAATTCTTAATATTTGTGTATATTCTCAGGACCTGTTTATATCCTATTTTGTTCACCATAATTACGTGAACTATTTCTCATTTATATACTTTTCCTATGTTTCCTAATCTTCGTGTATTTTTTGCCATATGCTCGTTGTCATGCCTTGCAATTTGCCTTTGTCATTTTCAGATTAGAAACAGAAATTGTAACTAACTCTTTTCTGTCAAGTGCAAAATTAACTTAACTTGATTAATAAGTGTATAATAAAAGTTATTTTTCATTATCATAGGGTGTTTATCTTTCACCTATAGTGGTGCAGAAATTATAAGAGGTTACCCTGGCCATAAATGAAACTTTTAGTGGAGACAAATGTCTGTGTGTGTGTATTATTTGTAAGCTCTGTCATAGAATTCAAGAAATATGTCAATCTGACCTTTTTTGCGTAAAACAGTTCGGCGTGCATTGTTTCGGGTAAAAAAAACAATTTCAAACCACGATTCGTGAAACCGATAAGCAGTTTAAAAAAAAAAAGAAAAAAGGACTAAAAATAAAACTATATTAAATTTCTTTACAGAACCCTCTCTTTGAATCATTTAAATGAGTATTTTAATCTGGATCAAATTCGTACCTGGCGCCGGAGTCTCTATGGTGTACGGTTCTTAAAATACGTACCATGCGCTCATGATGAAACGCTCCACGCCAATCTTGTGATTCGTCGTCGTGTTTTGTCTGGGCAAATTTCAAGGGTTCACAAGATAAGAACGTATTGTTTGTGCCGAGGATTTCCAGCTTGCATTCGGTGAGCCGATTTAAGCAAACGTACCAAAGACTTTTCTACCTTTAAAAATGTGCAAAATTATTTCGGCGTAAACAAATCAGTAATTAAGTTGTTCAGTAGTGCAACAATTGGAACCTTACTAAACTTCAGCCATACCCTGCTGGTTTGGGAATTCGTCATCTGATATCAAGCAACATTATTAAAAAGACTAATCAAAAAATAGAGTAATGGCCTACAAACTAAACATCCTTCACGTGCAGAATTGTTTGAAGAAAAGTGCTGTTGTAAAACTATTTTTTAAAATGTGGATGATTCATCCCTCCCACTTCATTACAGGTACCTAAGATCACACCCCATCCACTTCATTACAGATACCTAAGATCACATCCCTCCCACATCTATACCGATACCTAAGTTCACATCCCACCCACTCCATCACAGATATACCTAAGATCACATCCCACCCACTCCATCACAGATATACCTAAGATCACATCCCACCCACTCCATCACAGATATACCTAAGATCACATCCCACCCACTCCATCACAGATATACCTAAGATCACACCCCACCCACTTCATTACAGGTACCTAAGATCACACCCCACCCACTTCATTACAGATACCTAAGATCACATCCCTCCCACATCTATACCGATACCTAAGATCACACCCCACCCACTTCATTACAGGTACCTAAGATCACACCCCACCCACTTCATTACAGATACCTAAGATCACACCCCACCCACTTCATTACAGATACCTAAGATCACATCCCTCCCACATCTATACCGATACCTAAGATCACACCCCACCCACTTCATTACAGATACCTAAGATCACACCCCACCCACTTCATTACAGATACCTAAGATCACACCCCAATCCACTTCATCACAGATACCTAAGATCAGCTCGATCTCTTAAAGTTAGGACCGAAAGATCTTTTTAAAAATTCGTTTGTTACAAGCAGGGTTTCAGAATTTATCAGAGTGCTCCCCAACGATTTAAAAAATCTAAATGATCACCAATTAAGTCCTTATTGTCCACTGAGTAAGTTTGGTTTTATGGTATACAATGGATGATTTTTACGATAGAGAAACAAATTAATTTTTCTTATCCTCAAATTGTTGTAGTTGTAAAAAAATTCTTTGTTAGAATAGTTACTTATTTGTATTCTGACAATTAATAAGTACAGTTTATCAAAAACATTTCCATTTATTGTAAATATGAAAACAATGTTATCTTATCTTATCTTATCTTATCTGAAAGCCCTTTTTGTGTTCATGTCTCCAACCGATAGATTTGTTTAGTGTAAATTTTTTTTAAAATTAAGTGATTCCGGTGTATCTATGAACCTTGACCTTAAAGAATAAATTGAGTTAATTTTTTCTCTTACTGTCACTCTTCCATTGCCACCATTTAGATAACAAAAAATCTATAAATTTCAGTAATATTCAAATGAGTGGATTCGATCCTGTCCAAATTAGTGGATTCGATCCTGTCACCAGCAAACGAGTCCAATTCATTGTGACAAGATTTTTTTTTTTTAGAATCCCTGCAATATTCGCAAATATGCCAGGGCATTTCCTGACATGCTGACCTGCAGGTGACAGGTGTTGTGTTCTCGTGATTGCCTTTTATTTTAACACATTTAAATGCTCAGTGATCGCCGGACCCTTGACTTGTTTCAAATACCTGCTGACAAAAGCACATGTATGATGAGGTAAGGTATTCGAAAAATAACCTGTGTCAGACCTCGCGTTCCTTGTTGTCGCTTTTTTCGTAAACTTCATCGCAGTCCTCAGTTTTTATCGCAGTATGGTCTCTAAAATTATGTTGGTTATGACGTATGTAGTTCACAGTAACTTTTCTATCAATATTCCAGAAAAATGAACTGCGTATTCGCCATCCTCATTTGCCTTCCGGTCCTCGCCCTGTGCCAACCAAACTGGCTTGCAATTGAACTGGCCCTCTTCCGACATTTCGACAGTGATAACGATGGGAGTCTGACACTCGGTGAAATTAGATCTTACCTCAACGTACGTTATTTAACCTCTTTTTTTGTGTGTGTTTTTGTTTCCTGTGTGTTATCCGGCGGACTTATTGATCATCAAATTTACCCGCTGACACCTCGACAACCAAACACAGATCGTGTTTTTAAAAACCTAACTGAACACGTTTTATAATGTTGGCTCCAGCTCTTTGCTATCTCATACGCCCCCCCCCCATACTATGCTCTTTGGGATCTCATACGCCCCTCACTGAGCTCTTTGGGATCTCATACGGCCTCACACTATGCTCTTTGTTATTTTATAAGGCCCACACTATGCTCTTTGCTATCCCATACCACCCCACAGCATCATTTATATGTTAAGAAAAATGCAAATGACTCCCCGTCATACCGTCCCCACCCCCACACGCACATGGTTTTAAACCATTTTAATTAACTGTTTAAATTCATCTTTTTGTTTCATTCCCTTCTCAATTTCAATGTTTAAATTTCAACTTTTTGTTGCATTCCTTTCGCAAAGTTAATGTTTAAATTCATCTTTTCGTTGCATTCATTTCGCAAAGTTAATGTTTAAATTCATCTTTTTGTTTCATTCCTTTGTCAAATTAAAGTTTTTAATTCAACTTTATGTTTCATTACTTTGTCAGATGAAACATCTTAAGTATATGTTATAATCATATCATAAAAAGTGTTTCGATGTATATGATTTGTTCATTGTAATGTGTCTTGTTTTTAACATATTGCATGTACATGGTTTTAGTTGAAGACCATCGTTAGCTGTCTTAATGCTCTAAAAGTTAAAAAATAATAACAAAACCTGTTGGCCTATTTAAAAAATCTCCTTGTTAGACCTTTGACACAAACAGTGATGTGAATATCTTATGTGTACATGGTTTTAGTTGAAGTAAAATCTTTCCATTAGACATTCGACACCAACAGTGATTGGAATATCTTATGTGTGCATGGTTTTAGTTGAAGTAAAATCTTTCTATTAGACCTTCGACACCAACAGTGATGGGAACATCTCGAGACAAGAATACTACGTCCACATCGACGCCCAGTACAGTCATGACCCCTTAACCCAGTCAGCGCTCCGCGACCTCTTCGACGAACTGGACGCCAACAACGACAACCGTCTGAACAATGGTGACTACACCGCCCTTTACAGTCTGGCGGACACCAATGGCGACAACCAAGTCTCAGCCCAAGAGTTCCACAGGTAAGCCCATGCCTAGATAGGATAACCAAGAGTTTAACAGATAAACGAATGCCTCTATTTGAGAGTCAAGAGTTTAACAGGTAAACTCGTGCTTAGATTAGATAACCAAGAGTTTTACAGATAAACTAATGCCTAGATTGTATAGTCAAGACTTAAACAGGTAAACGAATGTCTAGATTAGACAGTAAAGAGTTTCAAGTGTCAATCAAAGACCAGATAAGATAACACTGACTAGACAACATGTTCATACCTACTTTAAAAGCATTTTGTTCTGGTCTGCTATGAGTTTGAGGTCATGGCTGTCCTGGAAGCAGTTCTATGTATCTTCTGGTCGCACAACTGGGACTGATTATAACTGCCTTTTACTGAATCGTGCTTGAAATGTCTTGCAATGTTTAATTTCAGATGGTTCCAAACAGCCACTGGCCAGGCCTCCTGAATAAAAAGGAACCAAAGAAATGAAGTTTAGTCGAACTTTGTCCCTTGGAGGTTTTCATAAATTATGGCATAAAAATGATTTTGAGTGAAATGAATGATGTTTTCTTGCATGTGATTTTTGTTTAATTTTTATCATTGGACTAATTATGTAATTAGGTTTAGAATGAACTTGCTGCATACAAGGCTATTTCAATTTGAGCAATGCTTTAAATAGAACAGGTTATTTTAATACGTTTATATATATATATATATATATATATATATATATATATATATATATATATATCATCCTTCCAGCTTCATGAGAAGATGGATGAAGAGAAGTAGATCTTATTTATCTAGTTTTCATCTAACCTCTAAAATAGAACAGTTTATTTTAATACGTTTATATATATATATATATATATATATATATATATATATATATATATATATATCATCCTTCCAGCTTCATGAGAAGATGGATGACGAGAAGTAGATCTTAATTATCTAGTTTTCATCTAACCTCTGATGTCAGATGCCTACTTGTTGGATATTATTGTCCCTCACTTCATCACACGAACTGGTGCAGCTGATACCAACACAGCAAACACTGGATATCTTGTTGCACGCTTTAAGTTTATCATTAGTAATTCAATTCGTTAAACGAATCAAAGTAGTTCCTTAACGATATATCCAGCCGAGATCCTCAACACGCAAAACAAGCCACCGTGAACATCCTAGAACGGTCATCCGTTTGCAATAACAACAGTACAACTAACGCGTCATTTCCCCCTACCCAAATGCGTCACAAATATCTCACACAATAGACGCAGCCACAGACATAATCTCTACACGAAACATCGTTTCCGTACCAAACATAAAAAAACAGTGATTCTCATACCCTTGACAATGGAGTAGCAATGAAATCTTCATCAAGTGGCTTACTGATGCCTTTAATGGCAGTCTCGCCTGCACTTCACGTAGGAAGACCTCGACTCCTGCTTAAATGTGACCCTCCGTTATGATCTTTTTGTTGCAAAAAGCTTCGTTTCATGCATCTTCTGCCCGTTTTGCCTCACATATAAGCTGCTGTTCCCCGTGCTGAAACGATGCTCGGCGGTCGTCTCCCATTCGTTGATTTCTAGGTCAGCTTCCCTCATATTCACCTTGCAAACGTTTACGGTCAAAAAACAAGTTGTGTCAGGAAACAGTAGTTTTTTTTCAAGCTCATCGTAGTGCCGTAGTCTAAGGTTTAAAAAACGTTGTCACGACGGCAAAAGCGTAAGGGTACACAGGTCTGGACTTAGGACCAAAAAAGTCACACTGAGCTGTATATAGTAGATAACTATATAGAAAAATCTGAAATTTTCTATGGACATTCATGACTTTAAAATCCTCGTTCAAAATAATCAAATTTCTGAATTAAAAATAGCCTTAATAATGTTAAAGCGTATTTAAACGTCCCTCTTAGGCCTACTGCCTACTGTCTACTGCCTACTGCCTACTACCAAAACCAGGAATATGTTTGTCAGGCAAAGTTATTTTCACGCAACAGTCCCATTCGTAGATAAAAAAAAAACAATTTCTGCTTTCCGAAAAAGAAAGAGCACACGAAGTAGGTTACCATGGAAGCGTACGTAAGAACGACACTACAGTCTTCTGCGATTAGTTTGGCTAAAACATCGTCCAACAGTTGTACAAGTGCACAGTCAAACAATTGTACAAGTGGGCAGTCGTAACAATTATTGTACAAGTGGGCAGTCGTAACAATTATTCAAGTGGACAGTCGTAACAATTGTACAAGTGCGCAATCGTAAACAATTGTACAAGTGGGCAGTCGTAACAATTATTGTACAAGGGACAGTCGTAACAATTGTACAAGTGGGTAGTCGTAACAATGGTACAAGTGGGTAGTCATAACAATTTATTGTACATAGTATCCAAAACAAAATGCGTATATATCATTGTGTCGGAAACGCATATACACAAACATCTTGTATATCAACCAGACAAATCCAATGTAGCTTTCGGAAATAAAATAAAAAAAATTATAACTACTATATTTGTCTGAAACACAGGGACGTCAAACAAAATGTTTGAAACATATAAAACACATCCAGTGTAGTGCCATGTAGCGTCAAATATATTACACAGCAAGGAACATTAGCATTGCCCTAGTACACACGATACGTAGAATTGGAATCAGTACAGCACTCAAGGTTCCACGGGTTCATGGTGGCTTAGCCACACACAAAAAAAGGAAAACTCTAAATACAAACACCATCCCCCTCCCATCCCTCTTTGCGGCCACAAACTCTAAGAAAGCAACGGTGGTCAACATGACCTCAACAAAAATGTCAATCACTACTGAATTTTTGGGTATCATTTAATTGTAAATAATTAGAGTACATTGGCATTCCATATCTGTACGGTGCTGAGATTAAAGGTGGTATGAAACTGAACTGTCACATTGACTGCACGATGATGAGATTAACGGTGGTATGAAACTGAACTGTCACACTGACTGCACGATGATGAGATTAAAGGTGGTATGAAACTGAACTGTCGCATTGAGTGCACAAGATTCAATGTATTGAAATTAAACCAAAGCCACACAAAACCATATAACCCCTTTTTTAAAGACCCAAACAATAGAGGAAATTCCGTTGTCGACATTAGAGGACATTCCGCTGTCGACAATAGAAGACATTCCTCTGTACAATAGAGGACATTCCGCTGTCGACAATAGAAGACATTCCTCCATTGACTTCGTTGTTGTTGTTTTTTAAATAACAATAGCACCACTTATAATCTGGTAGAACCACTTGTAATCTGGTAGAACCACTTGTAATCTGATAGAACCACTTGTAATCTGATAGAACCACTTGTAATCTGATAGAACCACTTGTAATCTGATAGAACCACTTGTAATCTGATAGAACCACTTGTAATCTGATAGAACCACTTGTAATCTGATAGAACCACTTGTAATCTGATAGAACCACTTGTAATCTGATAGAACCACTTGTAATCTGATAGAACCACTTGTAATCTGATAGAACCACTTGTAATCTGGTGGATGTAACGGATAAATCGTGTGTTTAAAATATCGGAAAATTACTCCAATGACGGACTGTTAGACAGTTTGTAATGAAACCTATTAACCATTTAATTACTGCTGGTTTTGGCATCGATTTTTACTGATCAGCAATAAAAAAAAAAACTTTAAAGAAGAAGCTTCCTTTATTTTTCATTCTCTATCCGACTTTCTCTATCCGACTTTCTCTATCCGACTTTCTCTATCCGACTTTCTCTATAGATGAACCAATAAAGAAATATACAGCACTGGGATATGACGTCGACGCGACGTCCTTGGTGGCTGAGAAAAGTTCTTTCCCTCCTTGTTGTCACGCCAATGTGACGTCCTTTGTAATGGAAAGTGGGTGACCGTGACTTGGCATCGGTAACGTTCAGAACACGTGGTACAGGTTGGCCGTAACATAAAGAGCACACACTGAAGACGTGGTATTGTTGGTCAATAGACGTGGTATAGTTGGTCAATAGACGTGGTATAGTTGGTCAATAGACGTGGTATAGTTGGTCAATTGACGTGGTATAGTTGGTCAATAGACGTGGTGTAGTTGGTCAATAGACGTGGTATAGTTGGTCAATAGACGTGGTATAGTTGGTCAATAGACGTTGTGTAGTTGGTCAATAGACGTGGTATAGTTGGTCAATAGACGTGGTATAGTTGGTCAATAGACGTGGAATAGTTGGTCAATAGACGTGGTATAGTTGGTCAATATCTTCGATCAAAGCCGTTTGCCCGCCAAGCACTCGTTATTTTAATCATTCGTACACATGTGTGTCCTTAAAATCCACGTACATCGGCATCACTAGGGGGTGTACGGCTTTGACCACTGGGGGGTGTACGGCTTTGACCACTAGGGGGTGTACGGCTTTGACCACTAGGGGGTGTACGGCTTTGACCACTAGGGGGGTGTACGGCTTTGAACACTAGGGGGTGTACGGCTTTGACCACTAGGGGGTGTACGGCTTTGACCACTAGGGGGTGTACAGCTTTGACCACTAGGGGGTGTACGGCTTTGACCACTAGGGGGTGTACGGCTTTGACACGCCCGTCACGGTTAAATACAACAGCATGGCGTCGCCTGAAAAGGTAGCCACCGTATCGTGAGTTTTTGTTTTTTCTCCATAAAATCAGAGGCGTGCCTTGAGTTTTGATACCCGCACCCGGTCGTTACTTAACATAAAGAGATATAGATTGACTGCGTTACAGAACTGCGTTCAGAAAGGCATACATTAAGTCAGAAAAACTTACCACCAATGTATAGTCGGGTAGGCTTACAGAATTTCAAATATATAGCAAACAGATCGGAAACCTTGCAGAATTTCAGACATACAGCCAACAGATGGGCAGACTTACAGAATTTCAGACTTACTGCCATAGAAACATTTACCGTTAGCCCATTTATTAGATATTATTACAAAATACAATCTTAATTCATGACACACATATCAGTTGAAGACAAATTCGACAGTTCACGCAGCAGACCTGTGATCGAGCTATTCCAAGTCTTAAACATACACCCACTTGATTTCAAATGTAATGCAACATTCCACGCAGTTGACCTGTGATGGAGCTATTCCAAGACTAAAGCACGCACCCATTTGATTTCAAATGTGATGCAACAGTCCACGCAGTTGACCTGTGATCGAGCTATTCCAAGACTTAAGCATGCACCCACTTGATTTCAAATGTGATGCAACAGTCCACGCAGTTGACCTGTGATCGAGCTATTCCAAGACTTAAGCATGCACCCACTTGATTTCAAATGTGATGCAACAGTCCACGCAGTTGACCTGTCATCGGGCTATTCCAAAACTCAATCATGCACCCACTTGATTTCAAATATGATGCAAGAGGCCACGCAGTTGACCTGTGATCGGGCTATTCCAAGACTCAATCATGCACCCACTTGATTTCAAATGTGATGCAACAGTCCACGCAGTTGACCTGTGATCGAGCTATTCCAAGACTTAAGCATGCACCCACTTGATTTCAAATGTGATGCAACAGTCCACGCAGTTGACCTGTGATCGGGCTATTCCAAGACTCAATCATGCACCCACTTGATTTCAAATATGATGCAAGAGGCCACGCAATATAAATGTGCTTTGTTCATTGCAGCCTCCCTGGAACGTGTCAATGCAGAGATAAGGATACACTGACCTTTATGCGCGTATTAAGACACTAGCACTGTCATCATGACTTTCATGCTTGGCCAGATGACATGTTCTCACAGGTGTCCTATTTATGGACACTTGGACATGGTCCATAAATACCAAAAGGTAGACGCAGTCGCTATCCACGTACAGTTGTTGAAATCTAGCAAAGCCACTCAGGTAAGTTGAGGCACAAACCTTGCTGTTGTGGAGCGTCAACCCTAGCCAGCCGTCCTATAGATTATTTAAACAAGAGGTTGCAATCATAAAAATCATATATACATAGATAGATATACATGTCACGGTACACAATTTACACAGTCCAAGGAAGGTCTAGTGTGAAGGAGGTTGGGGATAGAAGACCCTGCTGTCCGACATACCTGCGTAGGCTTATTCTATCAGAAGTATCTTGTAAGATTATACTGTCACACGTGTATATGTAAGATTGTACTGTGAGACGTGTCTTTGTAAGATTATACTGTCAGACGTATCTTATAAGATTTTACAGTCAGGCGAATCTTTGTAAGATTATACTATCAGACGTGTCGTTGTAAGATTATAATGTCAGACGTGTCTTTGTAAGATCATACTATCAGACGTGTCTTTGTAAGATTATACTAATCAGACGTGTCTTTGCAAGATTATACTATCAGACGTGTCTTTGTAAGATTATACTATCAGACGTGTCTTTGTAAGATTATACTATCAGACGTGTCTTTGTAAGATTATACTATCAGACGTATCTTTGTAAGATTATAATGTCAGACGTGTCTTTGTAAGATTATACTATCAGAGGTATCTTTGTTGGATTATACTGCCAGGCGTACCTTTGTAAGATTGCACTATCAGTCGTGTCTTTGTAAGATTATGCTGACCGAGACTTATCTGTATCTGATTATTATGTTCGACATGTATGTGAAACATTATGCTGTCCGAAAATTTTGTGAAAATGTAGCTTCCCGACAAGCTTCCGGACATTCATCAGCAAATGTTCATGATGTTGTCTTTGCATTTACACTTTGTTTTTTTGTTTTTTTAAATGAACAATTTTGAGTTGGGTTTTCTTCTAGCCTCAGAACATGATTTATTCGGTCGCCCTTTTAATTGCCCTTCCGGCCTTGATCACGTGTCAGTTGAACGTCAACGCCCTGGCGGTGGCTGCCTTCAACAAGTTGGACAGTAACGGAGACGGACACTTCAGCAGATCCGATGTTGACCACTACTTCAGGGTAATTTCTCCAATGTTGCAATAGGATTACAATAAATCATGATGCATAAAACACATTCTATTTAATGAGCAATCACAACGAAGAGGATCATGAAGGCTGTGAAAATGACCATAGCGTACGGGACTTTGAAGAACGTGTAAGCCAAAATTACTAAAAATATTTATCGCCTCTGGAAGTTTGTTTAGTTCTATTTATATTTGTTAAGTTTTCTTTACTTCAAACATTTCCTTCACATCCCACCCCCGTGAATATATATATATATATATATATATATATATATATATATATATATATATATATATATATATATATATATATATATATATTTCATATTTTAGATATTTTTGGGGGTGGAGTCAAGAGGGAGATAATCGCTTTCAAATGTATTCACTAACATCTTTGAGCTCTATTAATATTGTGTGTGCTTCTGCCAATAGACGCTGGATGCCAATAACGACCACATAGTCACCAGACCGGAGTACGTCGCCGCCATCGACGCACAGTTCGGGGATGACGCCGAGACGCTGAGAGCTCTCCGCCAGCTGTTCGACGACTTGGACTCCAACAACGACAACCATCTTGACCGCACAGACTACGACCATCTGTTCAACGTGGTGGACGCCGACAACAACGGCCAGGCCACACAGCAGGAGTTTTCAAGGTAGGTGTCGGGGCTTCAACACGAGACCTTTGAACTCGAGTTCAGATAATTTACCATCTAACTGGGAGGTCAGACACCAGCGTCGAAGAAGGAAAAGTTAAATAAAAAAAAGATGTTAATATTGATATGGTATGATATGATATGATATGATATGCTTCTTAAATAACCTTTGACCTTTTTGCATATGTTTTCAGATGGTTTCACGCAGCTGTAGGAGGGTCCGTTCTTGGCTAGAGTCGAGAAGTTGATCCATGTTTTTTATGTTGTGTATCTTAAAGTAATGTATGGGTTACAGATCTTTAAATCATATACGGAACAATAAAAAAAATATTGTCTCTTAAAAGAATGTGTTGTTTTGGGTTTTTGTCGTCCGTAATTACCAACACGGTTACCTACTGTCGTCTAACGATTTGTTAAGGTAACAGACTTTCACTTAATAATTACATAGTGTAAAGTAAGATTTAGAAACGGTCGTCTAACAATTACCGACTATCACTGAAAAAAAAAATACATAACGTAACTTAACTATTCAAAACGGTCACCTAAAAAAATGACAGACTACCACTAAAAAGTATAGACTATCACTTCATGTGGAGTCGGATATACGTTAGATGGGAGTCCATGCATGGAGACGAGGCGCCACGAATTGATCTGAGTGGAAGGATGTTGTTATGAATGCCTCCATGGGATGCAGTGCCATTGATGATGATGAATAATAATTCACTAGACAATTACAACTAGTCTAAAAATGAAAAATTATTACTAGCTAGTAACCTATTTGGTTATGGCTTCACGTTTTAAGGTCTGTTCACATCGTGGTCAATATGGTTGTCCTGCGTGTAGAGTTAAAGGAAGTATTTGGTTCTTTTGGAACAACTGACCACAATAAGGAAAATTTACACTAACTATAAAGTTAAGCAAGTGTTTGCAATGTTGGAGTATTTTCTTAATTCTTCCTTTGTTGGGGGTTTATTTCTACATACGTTACTTTAAAACAAAACAAAGTACATATCGACATAACTGATTTAATTTCTGATTGAAATCCCCGTCGTTTTATTCCTTGCACGGGACTTGATTTTCTCTGTTGATTTAACTCATTTAAAATTATGCAGAGATGGTCATAGATTGTTAGAAAATCCTTTATGCTTCATTGTTGTTCCATTCATCTCCTTTCATTTTAAGAAATAAGAAGTTTTCAAGACAGGTGGACTATAAATTATTTTTTTCGTGGAAATTAAAACAAAGTCCATATGCTTGATATGCAACGAATCTGTTTTCTGTTTTGAAAGATTATAACATCAAACGACACTACGAGACTAAACATGCAAATAAGTTTGGTAAGTACAAAGGGCAATTTCGACAAGAACAAGTAAATGACTTTTAACAAAAAAATTCTGCACAACAAAATATATTTACTAGAGTGGGTTTAGAGTTGACATGGCGTATAAAAGCTAGTTATGCAGTAGTCATGATACCAGCAAAAAAATCGAAGCCATATTCAAGTCGTGAAATGGTAAAGGAATGTTTGAGAGCGTCGTTGAAATTCTGTGTCCATAAAAGAAGAAGGATTTCTCAAAAATAAGTCAGTCTCGTCAGACTTTCACTAGGCGTGTGGGCGACATTGGAAACATATTTAAGACAATTGGAAAAGTCAAGCATCCGAGTTTATACTTTATGCTCTAGCATTGGATGAAAGCACAGATATGACAGACACTGCCCAACTGGCAATTTGTATCAAGGATTTTGATGTCCATTTTAAAAAGACAGAAGAATTATCGGCACTGTATCCACTTGAGGACACAACTAAGTCACGAGATTTGTTGGAGGCCGTCACATTGACATTGAATCGTTTTTCGTTACAACTTAACAACTTATCGGGCTTTACAACGGATGGTGCTCCGGCAATGTTTGGGAGACACGAAGGTTTGGTAAAACTGTTTGAAAATGAGGCCTCCAAAGTCGGTAATACTTCTATGCTAAATTTTCATTTCATCAGTTGTCAGGAGAATGTATGTTCGAAGTCACTCAAAATGGACGGTGTCGTGAAAGACGTCAAAATGGACGATGTCGTGAAAGATGTCAAAATGGACGATGTCGTGAAAGATGTCAAAATGGACGATGTCGTGAACGATGTCAAAATGGACGATGTCGTGAAAGACGTCAAAATGGTGATCTTCATTACCGAGATCGGGTCGAATCACCGTGTGTTCCAAGAATGTCTAAAGTCTTCGGACTCAGATTATCATGACGTTACATTGTATGCAGAAGTAAGATGGCTGACCCGTGCCAAAATATTGAAAAGATTATTTGATTTTGCAGCAAGCGATACAATGATTCTTTGCAAACCATTCAATAAGTATCCCAGAGTTTGAAGAATAAGAGCGGGTTTGCGACTTTGCGTTTCTGGTTGATATAATTAGCCACCTAAAGGGCATACTCGTCTACATTGGGAAAGATCAATTAATTAATCAGATGTATGATCATAGTTCTCCATTTTTTTAATATAACTTGGACTTTGGGAACAACAGGTGAGGAGGGCAAAACAACTCTTCTCACTTTCCTAACTTGTCATAGCAACCTGACGTCACACAGGAGGCGGCGGATAAATACGCCTCTTTGATATCTGAGCGGCGGATAAATACGCCTCTTTGATATCTGACTTAAACCTCGAATTTGAAAACCGATTTCAGTAATTTTTTTTAAATAGCTAACATACTTTTTTTTTTTTTTTTTTTTTTTTTTTTTTTTTTTTTTTTTTTTTTTTTTTTTGTTTTTTTTTTTTTTTTTTTTTTTTTTTTTTTATTGCCCTCCTTCTTTTTTTTTTTTTTTTTTTTTTTTTTTTTTGCATTTGCATTTGCATTTGCAACGCGATTAGCATTAGACGTGAATTAATTGCTAGAAAGATTACAAATGGAACATTGTGAAATGTGTTGTGATACACAATTAAAGGAGACGTTCCATCGAGTTGGTTTTGGAAGAGTTCTATAAAACGTATTTGGACAAGGATACACATCCTGCGTTTGACAAACATGCTCTGTTCGATGGTCTCGCTATTTGGAAACACTTATGCGTGTGAACAGATTTTTAGTCTCGTATGAAGCACATCAAATCACAAGCGAGAACACGAACTATTGATGTTCATTTTGGAAAACATTTTGCGCTCGGGGCGACAACATCAGTCGAGATCAATTTTGATGCGATGTGCTTGCTATGCAAAACAAAGCCAGAGTCTCACTTTTAAATATTTTTTTATAATTGTCTAATAAAGATGTTTTATTTTCTTCAACAAAAAAAACATATCTCTTTCTTCTTCTTTTTTTTTTTTTTTACATTAAACCTGGCAAACGTTTGAACACGATATCACCTACTGGGAAGCGACGATGTGGTCAAAGCTGTAACAAATTGTCTAATAAAGATGTTTTATTTTCTTCAACAAAAAAAACATATCTCTTTCTTCTTCTTTTTTTTTTTTTTTTACATTAAACCTGGCAAACGTTTTAACACGATATCACCTACTGGGAAGCGACGATGTGGTCAAAGCTGTAACGCGCTGGCTTCTTTAGTAAAATTAACCCCCCAAAAAATTTAGTGCGTAGCCCGGCAGGAAATATTATTTCTGAAATTTGGCCCGCCTGCTGAAAAGGTTTGCCCTACACTATCCAATACGCCAAGATCGAACTCTCGGTATTTCCTTTGAAGAAAAAATCAGTTCACTTTTCCCCCTTGGAGGACTATGATCACTTACTAGTAACCCTAACCCAACGCCTTGCCATAAACCGACTTTTTTGTGAAAGCAAAAGCTCAAAGTCTTTCAAGATTGAGAAGAACATATACATTGAGAATCGCATCTTATAACGTTTCCGTCGCGATTGATGCAAGTAGACATTGATGTATTTTTATTCTGCTGCATAAAACATGCCTGACAGATTTTAAGATTTTCTCTTGGTTTTATATTACTTTATGGGACAAAAAATTCATCGTTGGATAATGAAGAAGTAGGCGAGCGGTCGAAAGAGCTCGGGGTGGACCTCTTCCCCATCCACCTGAAGTCCCGTTCTACGCCCAGTGATTATATTCTGTTAAAAAAAAAATATATCAGAAGGTATGAAGCGTTCATTTACGTTAAGGATTTTAAAAAGTCGGGCAAGTTAAGTCCCTTATTTTAAATTCGGGGCTTTTTTTTTTTATTATCTCATAAAAAGACAATTGACTTGAAAACACCGATCACAACTTTAAAACTCCTAATATGCTCGTCAGCTCTCGTACGTACGACCATGGATCCAAAAAATGTTGAAGCAACTCCAGCTGCTGTGTTCACACGCTAGTCTAGGTTAATCAGAGTTGAATTATTTTTTTTTAACTGCATTGTCTGGAATAATACAGCTGTATAAAGTAAACAACTAAGGCATGATCGAGGAAACACGGTATGTTGTAGTGTTGTGTTTTATGATGGTACAGATTTTTTAAGATCTCCTTTTCGGGTCTTGGGAAGAAAACGAAATTTAAGACCAACAAATGTTGTTGTTGTTTTTTTCAAAAGATTTTATTCTGATTCCTATCAATTTCAATATTCAAAGTATAATTTTGAGTGTTCTAACACATTTACCAAAAGAATGTGTTGTTTTTTAATAAGTACCTCTAAAAGTCAGTCCGACATGTTATGACTCCTAGCTTAACTACGATTTTCACTCTGTCTCAGATAGACTGAGATAGATGCTTTGGATTGCAGTCAGGGGCGGCCAAACGTTTGCTGGCGCCCGGGGCAAGCTTATCTTTTGCGCCCCTTTTAAGTATAGTAATAAAACATTTTGCAAGGCAAAAACTAAGGGTTAGGTCATGAGTTTACTATCTAGTTTGTTTTGTTTGTTGGTTTTTTTAACAAACAATGAAGAATACTTTTGTTTTTCTTAACTTGTATTTGGACAGTATAAATAATTAGCCTACCTAGGATATTTTTCTCCTAGTCTTTAGATTAGCAAATATTTTATTGCACTTTATATATTTATACTCTGTGCAATATCATTTACTAGGGATAAAATTGCCTAAGAATACTTCATGCTTTTGTCAGCAGCAACTTTTGACACCACTTCCTATGCACCAACGTACCACTTTTATATAGTGTGGCAGACAAACATTTGGCAATTAAAATTATTTGTTATTAAATGGCGCCCACGTGCAAGGCTTTTTTCAAAAATAAAAAAATTATAATTGTTTGTTTTACGATTTTTCTTCTTCTATATTTTGAAGGCTCGCGATCAACGTATTGATCATTCTGGCTCCTATGTATGTAGAGAGGGTTCGCGATGTAACTGTGCATGGTTTTTAAAATGGATATTCCACTGGTTGCAAGGGCTACTCAACGCTGGTATTATGTACTGGGAGCTAGAAGGCAGGAGGCAGTAGACGCAAATGTGTCCAATGTTGTCGCCACAACTGTTCCTTTTGGAAGCGTGTTCCAGCCCCTGATTGTCTATGGTAGAAATGAGCAGTTCCCGTACTGTGTCCTTGCTGTTATGTGCCAGAACTGCACGTCATGGCCTCGCCGCGGTCTGTTATATAATAGGAAAACAACGTAAACGGTTTTTTTAATTTTTTGTTTAATGAAGATACACATAGAGCAAATTCGATCATTCAAAATATATGTAAAAATGGGGTATACATTTTTTTGGCGTAAGTTTAAATTCATGTTTTAAAATTTTTAAAAGAAAATGGAGTTCAGGGGCCAAAAATAGCAGATAAGTACTTCTCAAAACTAAATGATGTTGGAAACGTAAACATCATTACAGTAAACTTCTTTTTTTTTTTTTTCCTTTTTTTTTTTTTTTTTTTTAATTTTGTTTGTTTTTTTTTATTGGGGGTAAAAAATTTTTTTTTTTTTATTTCCTGCTATTTTTTTATTTTTTTTTTTTTTTTTTTTTTTTTTTTTTTTTTTTTTGATGAATTCTGATGAGTTTTTGCTATAGCAGGTAGAAAATATTTTTTTTTTAAGTGCCTGCCATTATTATCGCGGTTATTATAATCGGGTCACGTGGTCTAGTATTGAACGTTTCAATGGCACTCACCAAAGAAACAAAAGCCACTCTTCATTTTAGCCGTCAAGCTTCCTCTAAGAAGTTTTCACGCTTTTTCCGCGCTTCAAAATGCCCCCCTCGCCCCGTTCAAATTTTTATTCCGATGCTCCTTGCCCTTTTTTTTTTTGTACAACAAGCCCATGAAAAAGCAAAAACATACACAATAATCCACATCAATCCTACGAAACAAATGGGCAATTAATACGGAGATATCGCCAATTTTTTTTTTTACTGTTAAAAGAAATAATGATTTCGATTTCAGCACAATAATCAAACTTTATTGAAAGATAGAGGGGCTGACATCATTTGGTGATTATCCACCATTAAATAAATGGTGTGAGAACTAAAATGTATTAAGTCTTGTCCGGTGCGCATTATTCGCAAAAATAAAATAGCGCCTGTTAAAGCGCAGTGAGAGAACTCATAAAACGATATGTCGAAAAGCAAACGGAAAATAACCTCAAGAAAAGAGAAAAAAAAAATATTTTTTATGTTTCGGACTTTGGTCATTTTAGACCACTTAGACTGTAAGAGTAATAAGAGGAATCAACGCGCAAAGTTTTTACTCCATATCGCTGTTTGTTCTTAAGATTTCGTGATCAGTGAGTCAGTGAGTGAATGGCATATGGCTTATATTTATTTTTTTTCCTAAAAGCAGTAAGTTATAAGAATCTCACCATTAAAAAGTATAGAAAAAAACTAGTTCACTAAATAGAGCAACCATTACAAGGCATAAACCTTTTTTTTAAAAAAACAATGAAACAAATCATTATTAATTTTTTTTTAAAATCGACATTTGGTCATTTACGGCAACTTAAAAGCTGATTATTTTAATTAAACACGTCAGTGCACGCTTATAGTTAAAGAGGAATTACCATGGAAATGTTGAGCTTGATAGGGCTTATTGCTCTTGAGATCTCGTAATCAGTCAGCCAGTCAGTGGTATTTCGCTTTTATAAACATAGGGTTGTTTTTTTTAATTATGATGCAAATTTATAGTCTTTGATCATTGTAATTTATAGTCTTTGATCATTGTAATTTATAGTCTTTGATCATTGTAATTTATAGTCTTTGATCATTGTAATTTATAGTCTTTGATCATTGTAATTTATAGTCTTTGATCTTTGTAATTTATAGTCTTTGATCATTGTCTCAAGTGTACATTTTCTTAAAACATTTCTTTTTAGAATATAATTTAAATCTCATGCAATTATGTCAAATTTTATTCTGTCTCTTACAGAAAAATGATCCATTGGCTAACACTGTCCCTTTGCCTTCCGGCCTTGACCATCTGTCAACCGCTTGACCTCAACGCAGCTGCTGCAATCTCCTTCAAGAATTTTGATGCTGACGGGGACAGAAACCTCGAAAAGCCGGAGATCAGCCAGTACTTTTCGGTTGGTTGGCAACTGCATTCGTTTCATTACCATACTGAGCCTTGCATTTGTGCTGCATTTGTGTCATTAATATTTTGATCCTTGCTTTAAGGATGCATCTGTTTCATTACTATACTGACTGAGCCTTGCATTTATGCTGGGACTTAACTTGACCTTTTTAAAAAATAAAAAAAACAGTTTCTTGCATTTGTATTATTGTGATAAGTGTTCCTGTTTGACTCTATCGTGTGAGGCACCACATGGCTTTCGGGCTGTTCATGACATCACCACTTCCCCTACATACTGGTTATGGTGAGATTAAATTGCTTACATGAGTTTTTCAACACAACATTGCTACTTTTAAAGAAACTACTGCTATAAACATAACGTGGGCAAAGACAACAACTTGGCTCGCACGCTGTTTATGTAACAGATTCTTTGTAATTCTTCTACTTAATAACTGTTAGTTTCACAAAAAAACACTCCTTCCAGCATGTTTATTACACCTAACAATACTTTGCTTACAGACAGTTTATGACTCCAACAAAGATGGAAGAGTGTCCAAGCAGGAGTACACCAGCACAGTAGAGGCGAGGTACGCCAGCAGCCCAGAGCTGGTCAATGTGCTCAAAAATCTGTTTTCTTACGTGGACTTCAACAACGACAACCACCTGGACGCACCAGACTACGACAATCTTTTCACCACAGCTGACGCCGACAAGAACGGGCTAATCACTCAACAGGAGTTTGCCAAGTGAGTGCGGTAACTCTCCTAACTTGAAATCGTATCAAGAAAATGATGTGAATTCCTTCTGTAAAGGGAACAATCATACGTTTTACGAAAACGTATAGGCCCCTTCAGATCTATACGAAAGCATATCCAGAAATTTGATCGAATGAAATTTCGTCGACGAAAATTTGATCGAACGGAAGTTTGGTCAAAAAAAATTTTTTTTTTTTCAGTTTAGACGTTCAAAATTTGCTTTACAATTATTTTTGAACGCATTTTTTTGTTTTTTCTTTATAGTATAGTGGGTTCAAAATAAAATTAGTCGTAAATTTTAACATGTGAGCTGAAAAAAAGGATCGACCAAATTTCCGTTCGATCAAATTTCCGTCGATCAATTTTCCGCCTACAAAATTTCTTTCGATCAAATTTACGATAACCATACGAAAGACATGTCAACTAGTGTTTTCTGCAGCTAATGGAGACGTTCCTTTAAATAAGTATAATATAAAATAATCGCTTGCCATTCTAAAAACGCCTACTTCAAAGCATGAGGAACTCCCTGGGTTAAACAATCAGCTACCAAGGTTGGACAGTAACAGTCAATTTGGCCTGGCGATTCTTTAAATCTCGACAGATGATGATATGCTGAATAAAACTATTTTCAACTGGTTTTTTTTGTTTTTTTTTTATAAATGACTGTCTTGTTATTTTGGTGACATAATCAGTTTCCCCGTGATGACAACAACAAAAAAAAAAAGTAAGTGGAAGAAGAGAGTTTAAAAATTCCTTACTTTTTAAAAAGATTTCATACAGCAGAAAGGGAAGAGAGATATTTTATGGTGAATTACCTCAAAAGTTATAAGACAAGAAAATGGACTTAAAATAGTGAAGAATGATACAAATAAAACTTGATTCATTCCAGTACAGTCTGTGTATTTGTGAAAGGTAGATAACCGAGCTAAGGAGCAAGACGTCAGTCGACAAGAGATACTGAGATCTGGATCATAAGGGGGAAAGAAATGAGAATGGACGATGGCGTTAACGGTGTGCCGTAAAGAAATTGTGGAAAAAGTAAACTCCAGAATCAAATGTTACTGTGACGTCTTTTCTAAAACCAAAATAGATGCAGAAACGGAACTTGAAATGCCCGTCAAATGGATCACGACAAAGATAGAGAGATGTTGCACGTAGTGAATTATGCTGGAATGAGTGGCTCTGGGCATAGGAGAATGACAAAATATCGTAAATAGCTCTTCCATACCGACATCTTAAATAGCTTAGTGCTCACAATGCCATAGCTTTTAAGAGGTAGACTCAAATACGTATGAAATAACATACCCATTTACACGATTCATTGAACAGTCATTGTGGTCATTATTATGTCTCCTCGTCTGAAGATAAGATAAGGTTAGATAAGATAAGCTAGATAAGATAAGTGGTAAGTCCGTAAGAATGAGTTTTTCTCGACAATACATTTGTACACCTAGGAAGCACATTCAATTCGAATTCATCATCTGGTCCCAAAATTAGTCAAACATATGGCGCAGCAGGAAACACAATCACAAGCTTAAAATTCAAAGAGCAGACAGCAAATTACCAAATGAGCAAGCACCAACGGTCTTGCTACCACGTCACACAAACAGTTATCTCTACCACAATACGTCACAAGCGTTATGGCGACAAGAGACATCCATGAAGGAAACACTGTACGTTAAGACGCACCTCACACAATACAACACGACACATGTTGCGAAACAATGACATGACAATATCCATACTCGAATATAAGATGTTTTATTAATCCAAATAATTGGACATTTATCTGGATAAATTGCACGTATATTTTGTTTTTTCCGTCTTGTGAGTCTTTCTTTTGAGCTTTTGTGTTTTTTTTTTAAATTGCAGATATTACCAGGATGGCGTCGCAGCAGGTCGCTAGAGGAATGTTCGGATAAAGAATCTGCAAAACATCATGAAATAAACTCAGTTTTGACCTGAAATAAACTCAGTTTTGACCTGAAATAAACTTAGTTTTGACCTGAAATGAACTCAGTTTTGACCTCAAATAAACTCAGCTTTCACCTGAAATAAACTCAGTTTTGACCTGAAATAAACTTAGTTTTGACCTGAAATAAACTTAGTTTTGACCTGAAATAAACTCAGTTTTGACCTGAAATGAACTCAGTTTTGACCTGAAATAAACTCAGTTTTGACCTGAAATAAACTCAGTTTGGACTTGAAATAAACTCAGTTTTGACCTGAAATAAACTCAGTTTTGACCTGAAATAAACTAAGTTTTGACCTGAGTAAAAACTCAGTTTTGACCTGAAATAAACTCAGTTTTGACCTGAAATAAACTCAGTTTTGACCTGAAATGAACTCAGTTTTGACCTGAAATAAACTCAGTTTTGACCTGAAATAAACTCAGTTTTGACTTGAAATAAACTCAGTTTTGACCTGAAATAAACTCAGTTTTGACCTGAAATAAACTCAGTTTGGACTTGAAATAAACTCAGTTTTGACCTGAAATAAACTCAGTTTTGACCTGAAATAAACTAAGTTTTGACCTGAGTAAAAACTCAGTTTTGACCTGAAATAAACTCAGTTTTGACCTGAAATAAACTCAGTTTTGACCTGAAATGAACTCAGTTTTGACCTGAAATAAACTCAGTTTTGACCTGAAATAAACTCAGTTTTGACTTGAAATAAACTCAGTTTTGACCTGAAATAAACTTTATGACTCTCTTTGACATTAAAAATGCTTACATTTCCATTTGACCTGGACAATGCTTAATAATTCAATTTAATCTTGACAATGCTTAATGATTCTATTTAATCTGGACAATGCTTAATGATTCTATTTAATCTGGACAATGCTTAATGATTCTATTTAATCTGGACAATGCTTAATAATTCAATTTAATCTGGTAATCTGGAAAATGCTTAATGATTCTATTTAATCTGGACAATGCTTAATGATTGAATTTAATCTGGTAATCTGGACAATGCTTAATGATGCAATTTCATCTGGACAATGCTTAATGGTTCTATTTAATCTGGACAATGCTTAATGATTCTATTTAATCTGGACAATGCTTAATGATTCTATTTAATCTGGTAATCTGGACAATGCTTAATGATTCAATTTAATCTGGACAATGCTTAATGATTCTATTTAATCTGGACAATGCTTAATGATTCTATTTAATCTGGACAATGCTTAATGATTCAATTTAATCTGGTAATCTGGACAATGCTTAATGATTCAATTTAATCTGGACAATGCTTAATGATTCTATTTAATCTGGACAATGCTTAATGATTCTATTTAATCTGGTAATCTGGACAATGCTTAATGATTATATTTAATCTGGACAATGCTTAATGATTCTATTTAATCTGGACAATGCTTAATGATTCTATTTAATCTGGACAATGCTTAATGATTCTATTTGACCTGAACAATGATTAATGATTCTATTTGACTTGGACAATGATGAATGATTCTATTTGACCAGGACAATGCGTTATTATTCTACACCTGAAAATGTGTATTTATTTTATTCGTCTTGATAATTGTTGTATCATGACGCCGGAATAAATCATGTTTTTTTTCCTTTCGTGTGTGTGTGGAGAAATTGAGATTTTTTAGGTTTCTTTCTTTCTTTTTTTTTTCTCTGAACTTAATAAATATTGGATTGTTACGTACCGTCAAATGGTAACATGGTGAATTTGTGCAAATTTGATCGATTCGATTTTAAGATTGGGCTCGTTAGATGAACAATACCATTTGAAAAATTACTCAACACTAGTATACAAAGAAGAACAAAACCAAAATGTATGAAATTAACGAAATGCAATTGAATTATACGTTTATTATTATTTATATTGAATTATTAAAATGTATTTTGACATGGACAATTAACTTACAACAAGAGGAAAATATGTTTTTCTTTATTGATTTAAAGATGAATGCACACACACACAAACAAAGAGTAAAATCTGGTAAGGCTGCTATAAGTATATATTAAGTCTCGTAAATCTCATGTCTAGTAAAACTAGAAAATCTCTTTCGGTTAAGAAAGCTGCCGACGCATGGACTAATTCGCATTTAAATGGAGAGAGTTAAAACCCTCCAGAACAAAATTATATAAATGGAATCCCACCGATAGCATTCTTCAGAACAAATTAGAATGTAAACAAACGTTTACAGCATGTGGGCAATCACAACTACTTGTAAGTAGATTCGAAACTGGTAAGGCTGCTATAAGTACCGCATTTATCGGCGTATAATACGCACAGGCGTATAGACGCACCATTCGCGCCGCTATGCGGTATGTACTATGGGTCCTTAACATTATGTCGGCGTATAACGCGCACACGTCATTTGCCCGCTATTTTCAGGGAGAAAAAGTGCGTGTTAAATGCCGATAAATACTGTAAATTAAGTCTCGTAAATCTCATGTCTAGGAAAACTAGCAAATCTCCTTCGGCTAAGAAAGCTACCTTCGCATTACAACAAATTAGAATGTAAACAAACTTTTCCAAATCAAGGGAGGGGAGGGTTATGGGAAAGCACAACACATTTAACAATTTCAAAACAAAGCAACAACTGGGGGGAGGGGAGGGGGGAGATATTTGGTGGACGCTATAGCTCTACCTTAAATTTCAAATTATCCAATATATGATAAAAGTTTTTAAAGCTATGACTTTAAAGTTAGGCATTTTTTTTTTATCCGGCTTTAAATTGTGAAGACGCAGTGCGCAGACTGTGATATTGTTTTCAACATATTTCGCCTCATAGCAGTTGTGTGTTCGGGCATCAGGTTAAATTGGGTCATTGTTGCACCTCGATGTCAATGGTCATTCTGATTTTAAGAACAAAATAAACAAGAATACATTGCGGCATTCACTATGAGATATATATATGACAGCATGCAATTGGTAGCTTTGGTAGGCTCTGTTTAAGTATAATAATAATACTTTGTTCCGTTGAGTTTATTGTAAGTATTTTTTTTTTACAAAGCAAGCTGTCATCTATTAGACAAAAACAATGTTTTAACGTTTATAATTGACTTTTTTTTTTCCCTTATTTCATGAGAATTTTCATGCCATTGTTTCCTGATTATCCTATTTTAACATGGAGGATACACATTCTTATTCTTCTGTCCGCATCCAACGGGTGGAGGGTGGGGGGGGGGGGTGGCGGGGGGGTACAGAAAGCGCTCCGCCGCAATGTATGTGAGCTGCTGGGGGTTAATGATCCCTTATTTCATGAGAATTTTCATGCCATTGTTTCCTGATTATCCTATTTTAACATGGAGGATACACATTCTTATTCTTCTGTCCGCATCCAACGGGTGGAGGGTGGGGGGGGGGGAGTCGCGGGTAGGTACAGAAAGCGCTCCGCCGCAATGTATGAGAGCTGCTGGAGGTTAATGTTGTGGACTTAGAAGAAGTGCTCCCACAGTCGATCTTTCGCCAGCGTGGTATTTCCTAGCCCTGAAAACTGAGTGCCTGCTAGGAGAATGTTGCGACACAGGCTGACTGATAGGCATTTTGATTGATGGTCAAGCCAATAAGTTGCCTTCTGGCCATACACTGGATGATTGGTGTGAAAGAAAAAACACTTTTTCTTATTTCCTGATTCCAAATATGGTCCAGTATCGTTTCACCAGCTCCTCGGCTCAAAAATTTCATCTCGCGGGTGAAGACGTTTCTCTCGAGAGTTTTAGGTTTGTCAATGGTAAATTAGGGTTGGAATAAAGACGGTTTTAATTAGCCAGTCTTTGTTCTTTATCTTTTGGGGATGTTAGCTAATCTGACTGCGTTTTCCCCTTTTCCCCTGTTGTCTCTATCTCTCTGTACATTTTTCAGTCTTCAGCGAAAATTGCTACGCAGATATCTAAACTCCTGGCGTTTACCTGCCGACCGACAATATTTTATCCAATTTTTCTTGGGGCACTAACCATCGTCTCATCGTTGTTGATTTTCATCGCATAAAACTCTCAGGTACTGCTCAGGCTACCAACATGGCTCTGCAACTGTTTGCGTTATCGTTCAGGGTGCGTTCGTCATTTGCGAGTAGATCATTTGTTGATTGGCTCGGGATTCGCGTTGGCTTTTTTCTTCTTTTTTTTTTCTTTCCTAACTCCGGACTTTGCTTCAGATCACCGGGTGAGTCCATTTGGGCCTAAGCAACATCACTTAACCTGCTTGAATATAGCGTCATTATATTATCCTTTAACTCCGTGCGTACATTTCAAGCAGCTCCAAGAATGTATTCCTGTCCACCTTGACGAACATCTTCCTGTCCACCCTGACGAACGTCTTCCTGTCCACCCTAACGAACGTCTTCCTCTCCACCCTGACGAACATCGTCCTGTCCACCCTGTCAAACGTCTTCATGTCCACCCTAACTAACGTCTTCCTGCCCACCATGACTAAAGCTACTTTTCCTGGGCGAGAACGAGTTGAGGCTGTTGTTTATATTTATAAGGTTGCTCACACATTTGATGAAGGACTAAGATTGCATCCTTCATTTTCTTATTGTTATGACGCCGACCAGGACAATGAGAGCACGCATCGAATTAATTTTTACCCATATATTTATGTCGTCTGTGACGGCTGTCATCAGATCAATGCGATTTTTTATTTCTCCTTATAAAAATAAAACATTTATTTCGTAAGCATTGCCAGGAATACTTTTTGGCCAATTACCTTTACCGTTCGTATACATGTCCACTGTAAAGAAAATTCGTTGAGATCGCTGTAGATTTTACACGTGCACTCAAATTCTTATTTTAGGATAATCGGTATTTTTGGAACAGTGACAAAATAAAATACTTGAAAAAAAAAAAAAAAACTTTAGAGTGTTAGCCAGTTGTCTATTTTCACAACGAAAGACAGTTGTCAAGACTTAAAGAAACTAATTCAAGACTCGTGTCTGTTACAGACAATTACCTTTACCGTTCGTATACATGTCCACTGTAAAGAAAATTGGTTGAGATCGCTGTAGATTTTACACGTGAACTCAAATTCTTATTTTAGGATAATCGGTATTTTTGGAACAGTGACAAAATAAAATACTTGAAAAAAAAAAAAAAACTTTAGAGTGTTAGCCAGTTGTCTATTTTCACAACGAAAGACAGTTGTCAAGACTTAAAGAAACTAATTCAAGACTCGTGTCTGTTACATCTCCGTTAAAATAAAATGCATACGAGAATGCAAAACTCATTTTTATTATTTGCATTCATAAAATTCAGGGTTACTTTTTATATGCTTTGTTAATTTTTAAAAAAAAAAATATCTGATTACAATTCCAAGATAAGAAAACATCCGTTCATCTTCGACATGTGACATTTTCGCACGAGTGTCCAGTCGTAATAAACAAATCCACTGGCAAGTTGGTTACTCTCTAAGTTTTGGGCAGTGGAAATTTAGGTAAGTTTTGGGCAGTGGACATTTAGGTAAGTTTTGGGCAGTAGACATCTAGGTAAGTTTTGGGCAGTAGACATCTAGGTAAGTTTTGGGCAGTAGACATCTAGGTAAGTTTTGGGCAGTAGACATCTAGGTAAGTTTTGGGCAGTGGACATTTAGGTAAGTTTTGGGCAGTAGACATCTAGGTAAGTTTTGGGCAGTAGACATCTAGGTAAGTTTTGGGCAGTAGACATCTAGGTAAGTTTTGGGCAGTAGATATCTAGGTAAGTTTTGGGCAGTGGACATTTAGGTAAGTTTTGGACAGTAGACATTTAGGTAAGTTTTCGGCAGTAGACATCTAGGTAAGTTTTGGGCAGTAGACATTTTAGGTAAATTTTGGGCAGTAGACATTTAGGTAAGTTTTTGTTGTGATGTCAAGTGTTGCTGACCGGCTTTCATAACAAAGTCGAGAATTTGAACCAGAATGAGCGGGATGGGGAGGGGCAGATGGTAGGGGGAGATCGGATGAGAGAATGATACTAAGAAAGCTGAGACTCGATATAAATTTGCTCTGCTAAGTGATGTCCACAAAGTAATGGATCTGTTAGTCGATTTGACGCATCTGAATGATTTAGTTCTAAAATAAATCTGATCATATATTGGTTTTTTAAGAATTAAGAAATTGTGTTTCTATTATGTTCGTCATAAGTCTGTTTTATATTTTAAATGTCCTGGTCTGTTGTGATCTTATATTTTTTTTACACTGACAGTGAGATGGCTTACGTGTTCATCGTACTACTGAGTGTTCTGGCTTTTACTACCAGTGAAGTCCTTGATCTGAACAGACTCGAGGCCAACACATTTGGCGGTCTGGATATTGATCATGACGGGCACATTGAACGATATGAAGTGAACGAATATATTAAGGTTAGTTAAGCATTAATGTCTTAACCAAGTGAAGAGAAATTTAAGCAATTTAATTTATTGATCAGCCGAATACGAGACTCTTTTTCATAGCAACCATCCATCCATCCCTGAAGGCGCTACAGTCTATTTAAGGCTTTGGCCTGCCTCACCACTTCCTTCCACTAAGAACTAACTAACGCTTTTCTTTTACAAGCTTGGATTCCCAGCAGCTGTAGATCTTTTCCACGTCTTCCATCCATCTCAGCCTTTGAGCCGTTTTCCCCTGGGGTTTTGGTGGTGCACCCTCTTCACTCCTCCGTCATTCCGGCATTCTTTCTAAGTGTCCCACACAGAGTAGTCCTGCCTTTTTTTTATATAGATATTTCTGCTACTAGCTTGGTATCCTAACATAGTATATACCACTCCTGGTTGGTTCCTATTCTCCATCCATATTTATAGCACCGGTTGTATCAAATTTAACTTTAATTTTGGTAAGTATTACATATAGTAAGGTGCAAGCTAGGACTTAAATACGAGACTAAAATGTATCGCAGGAACAGTAATATATATAAAAAAAAACAATTAAAAAAGTAAATCAAAACAAAAACAAAAATAATTTGTATTTATGTAAGTCTTTTAGGATAAGTCTTGCTAAATCTGATAAAATGCAATGTTGTATTTTCTTACCTCTAAATATTAAGACCATAGACGGTGATTACGATGGCAAACTCTCCGACGCCGAGTACGTCAAGGCCCTGGGCCTCCTTCACAGCACCGATCTCGTGCAGCTGCAGATCCTCAGAAACCTCTACAATCACCTGAACTTCGATAAGAACAGCTTTCTGGACGATATCGATTTTGACAGACTGTTCACGGACACGGATAGTGATGGCAACGGGCTTATTACTCCGTTGGAATTTAGCAGGCAAGTTCTCACGTCCGGTGCTCTTAGTTTCGATAAGGTATATTTAGGAATAATTCCTACTTTTATTTAGGGTGTATTTCGTGGTAAGGGCATGCCCTGGATTTCATACCTAACACATTATTTTTCCGTGACGCCCTTGTAAGAAAGGGTTTTTTACTTCGAGTTTTATCAGATAGAGTTGGCGAAATAAATGTGAAGCCTAAATGATTTTTATTTTAGCTTCACCTGAATGAAAGAATAAAGTACAGGTAATTCTAAAACAACTTCATAGAAATCCTTTCCTCAAGAGGCGTCACATTAAAAACTGTATTAAATAAACGTTGTTTTTTTTAATGAGACAGTCATTTCAAATTCAAGAGTACATTTCCCATCTTGATTTTTTTTTTTTTTTTTTTTGGGGGGGGGGGCTTATTTTTAAACATCTAAGGACACTTATTAGTTTGTTTATCTCACCTGAATTCACCCGATGCTTACTAATGTTGACCAGGATATATGACCGTAAACATAATATTTCTTATCATTTATGTCGACTTGACATCTAATGTCACTGTGCCCCAAGAGTAATTGTTGTTTGCCAAGTAAAATTTTTCGTTGGTGCTAAAACCAAACCCAAATAGAGATGGATCGAAGTTCTCTGGTACCAAATTCTATCAAAGTTGATGAAGGAACCCAACTGCCAATCCAATGAAAACCGCGTGATGAACGCTCCCTTGGTGCGGACAGCCATGAAATGTTGTCTTTGAAAAAAGAAGACTATGAATAGCTCAAGCATTTGTTTAAACTTCTATTTTTCAGGTTCTTCTTTGATTCCATCGCGTTCGTTAGAAATCACACTGCTATCTTAGGTTGAGATGTTGTTACCGATTAAAGAAATGTAAGAAAATGATGTCTTTAAGAATAAACATGAATTAAAAATCATTTCCTTTCCTAGGTTGTTGTTGTTTTTTTGTCGTTTTTTATTTATTTTTTTAGTTACATGTAATTTTGAGCTTCATATCTTTGTCAAAAAAGGAAGGTTCAAAACTACCATCACATTCTAGCTTTTACCATCGAATGCAAACCACATCCCACGGTCTAATGCAAAGATTAGCAAATCATGCCCCGCGGTCTAGTGCTGAGGTTTGCAAACCACATCCCACGGACTAATGCAAGGATTAGCAAATCATGCCCCGCGGTCTAGTGCAGAGGTTTGCAAACCACATCCCACGGACTAATGCAAGGATTAGCAAATCATGCCCCGTGGTCTAGTGCAGAGGTTTGCAAACCACATCCCACGGACTAATGCAAGGATTAGCAAATCATGCCCCGCGGTCTAGTGCAGAGGTTTGCAAACCACATCCCACGGACTAATGCAAGGTTTAGCAAATCATGTCCCACGGTCTAGTGCAGAGGTTTGCAAACCACATCCCACGGACTAATGCAAGGATTAGCAAATCATGCCCCGCGGTCTAGTGCAGAGGTTTGCAAACCACATCCCACGGACTAATGCAAGGATTAGCAAATCATGCCCCGCGGTCTAGTGCAGAGGTTTGCAAACCACATCCCACGGACTAATGCAAGGATTAGCAAATCATGCCCCGCGGTCTAGTGCAGAGGTTTGCAAACCACATCCCACGGACTAATGCAAGGATTAGCAAATCATGCCCCGCGGTCTAGTGCAGAGGTTTGCAAACCACATCCCACGGACTAATGCAAGGATTAGCAAATCATGCCCCGCGGTCTAGTGCAGAGGTTTGCAAACCACATCCCACGGACTAATGCAAGAATTAGCAAATCATGCCCCGCGGTCTAGTGCTGAGGTTTGCAAACTACATCCCACGATCTAATGCAATGATTAGCAGATCATGCCCCGCGGTCTAGTGCAGAGGTTTGCAAACCACATCCCACGGTCTAATGCAAGGATTAGCAAATCATGTCCCGCGGTCTAGTGCTGAGGTTTGCAAACTACATCCCACGATCTAATGCAATGATTAGCAGATCATGCCCCGCGGTCTAGTGCAGAGGTTTGCAAACCACGTCCCACGGACTAATGCAAGGATTGTAACACAGTAAATTGTACCGTGACCAGAGCGAGGTCATTGCTCAACATGAACCTTGTGGATAGCCAGCATCTTTGTCTGTAACCTACATGGTATTTGTGAATAGAACATGTTTCCATCGACATCATCCATTACTTCTACAGGTAAACACGAGCCACTTGAGGTAAACACCAGAGATGGGAATCGAACCCTCTTTGAGAAGTTCGGGTTAGCTTCGGTTCGTTAAACAACTTAAGTTCGGGTTCGGCTCGTTTCGGTAAAAGCGTAAGCTCGGATTCGATTCGGTAATGACTATAGGGATGTAATACCTTTTTCTTTTTTTTTTTTCGTCAAACCGGTTATCGGTTTAAGAGTTCCGTTTTTAACACCGGTTTTGAGTTTGTTTGTTTTTTGTTGTTTTTTTTTTTTGTTGTTTTTTTTAACTTAAGTTCGGGTTCGGCTCGTTTCGGTAAAAGCGTAAGCTCGGATTCGATTCGGTAATGACTATAGGGATGTAATACCTTTTTCTTTTTTTTTTTCGTCAAACCGGTTATCGGTTTAAGAGTTCCGTTTTTAACACCGGTTTTGAGTTTGTTTGTTTTTTGTTGTTTTTTTTTTGTGTTGTTTTTTTTAACAATGAAGGCACGCCCTTAAACAACACACAAAACGGGTGCTTTATAACATGTTTCTTATTTGTGTTCTATTGCGAGCATCCTGGTTTGTTGTCTATCATACAGAATCAGAATCATCATACTACTGCGGCGTACAGCCCGCCCTCACCACCTATGCCCATCTCACATCGTCACGGTGTTGTCAACTGTAAGCAATTTATCTAATTGATAAATAAATAGGTCTTATATAATTTTGGTTCTTTGTTTGTTTTTTTAACGATGCACGTTTCTGAAACAAGATGGAAGTGGGGGTTGGCTAGCGGAGAGTTTTCGTTGACTTTGTCAAGCATTTTTGAATAGTTTACTCTGGCATCCGTCCGTCGCTACGTGACGGTGGTCTAAACTTTGCAGGACGAAATCACAAGGCCCGGGGTCTTTCTTTATGAGTATAAGCTGGGTCCCTATACCGTATATGGCATCTCCCCCAAGCCGCTGGATAACCCCAGGAAACATCATATGCGGATGATACAGCTTGGCACCAGTAGCATCGCAGGAGTGGCCGGAATATTCATTGTGTCAATGTTATCCGCCTGCGGGACTCCATCTCCGGGTTTGAATTTAGAGTTTGCCGTCTCTTAGATTAGCCTATCCAAGGTGAATAAGTCCCAGGTACCGAGGTTGCCTTCGCTTGTCAAGGCTTTGGTGGGGATTGAACTCCAGATCACCAGCTTTTTTGGGTTTGACTCGGCAAGACGGCTCGTCCACCTGCAACCTAAAATATACACGCTGGAAGGACATCGTCGTTTTGAGTCCAAGCAAGTTGGGTTGTAATTACATTTTCAAATAAGACTTTATATCGAGCGTTACGTCGAGTTATTTATTACAACCCCTAGACAACGTTGCATTATTTAAAGATAGATATAGCATGTGAAAGAAAGGAGTTTTCAGCTGCCTCCCTCACCGTTCAACTAACTTGATACGTTGTTGGGGTCCACCAAATAATGTTAAGAACACGTAATGAAATATGTTAAATTTTAAAACATGTTGACACGTTATACACGAAGTTGACAATCAACTGTAATGAGTTTGAAGGGTTTCCTTTACATTTGAATTTAACAAGTGCGTGGACATTTTAACCCGTCACACCAGCCCAAAGTCACAAAAAAAACATTTCCCAATAAAATAGTTGTGATATTTATGTCCTTTCGTTCAGTGTGTGTGTGTGTTATTCTTTGGTATGCTTGTTTTTTATTCCATTTTGTTATGTTGAGATACAGCTTATTTACTAAGGCTTTCTTTAAACTATAGATTTGAGTTTTGTCAATGTCTGGAATCGGCCGAAAATAGTTTACAAAGCAGGCCCAAAAGTTGTGACATTAAATCAAGAAACCTAGTTAGAAATTATGAATTAAACCCCAAAAGCAAGATTAAAAATATTTCATTACAAGTTGCTTTCCGAAATTGATTTTTAAAGCTATACATGTAATCCTAGCTTAAAAATGTAACAAATGCCTTTCAAGTATGTTACGCACCGCAAGTAAGTCTTCGTCCACACAACAGCTATCAAAGACACATCATTGGCACATCTTGTGGAAAGTGACTCCTCCTTCATTTCAGGCGTTCTTTCCGTGCCCCTTCCTTCGTAAGTCCAGTGACCAGATCAGATTAACGACCGATAACCAAGTGTACAATTTTCCATCCCCGGATTGAACATAAAAACCAGGATTCCATTAGTGTTACAATTATCTAATTAATCAGATGAATATTTCTTAAACTTGAAAACTTCCTATTGATGGCTATTGTGTTCGCATCTTCAATTTAAAATACAGTTAACAGAAATTCTTTAAAGACATAAACTGAATTAAATCTAGATAACCACTGCATATGTTATGATGATAGGGTTTTTTTTAAAGGTCCCAAATGTGGTAATAGGCTACTTAACTTATACAAATGTCATAGTATCAGTTTTATTTTCTCTGTTATTAAAAAGTGAGTCCTAATTTATTGACCTCTGAAAAGATTTGGCAAATAATAAAAGGGATCAAGATCTATTGATTTCCCATTTTGAAAGAATACTTTCTTATAATGTTAACAAAATGAAACAAGCCTTTCAACGAAAAACTTAAACATTAATGTTCTTTTTTTTAAAGTAGTTACTTACGCTAGTGAGACTTGGTCCCTTACTAGAAAAACAGAGAACTTGCTCAATACATGGAAGAGAAAAATCATCAGGAAAACTATCACTGGGACATATATTTTCCTGAGGATTTTCCTCTCTCATGTAATGTTTATCACTGGGCCATGTGAAAATGAGGTTTAGAGAATCCGTACACACCAAGAGCTATACCAATTGTACAAAGACCCAACCAAAGTCACACAAAAAATTTAAAAGGCAGACCACGCTGGGCGGGACATATTGAAAGGATGTCGGATTGTAGAGCAGCAAAAGTGATATACAGGCAAAAGCCTAGGAGCTGAGGGCTTACCGGTCGTCCAAGACTGAGATGGATCGACGATGTAGAGGAGGACTTACACCAGTTGGGGGGTTCACGCATGGGGGTGGAAAGCCATGGATTGATCCGAATGGAATGATGTGGTGGAGCAGGCCAGGGCCCTACATGAGCCGTGGTGCCACTGATGATGATGACTAATAAGATTTGGCAAATAATTAAAGGGATCATTATGACAAGTTCTAATTATAACCCACTGTTTAATGAATACATTTTTATAATGTTAACAAAGTGAAACAACTCTTTCAACGACAAACTTAATAATTAGAGATGGCATCAATATGCTTTTTTAAGCAGCAGGGAGTTAAGAAGTGAGGGAAAAAAAACATGTATTTTAACCTAGTCCTTGTGGTTTCAATATTAATCCTCGATAACTCATTAACCTGACCTGCTTCACTACTGTTGTTGGTTGTGTTAGCATACGTGTTTAGTTTAATCTAATTAGATCCAAGGACAACAGTTCTTCCGTATATAGACTTTGAGCAGGCTGGAGTTGTAATATTTTGACTTGAAGTTCCAATATGTTATTGTTAACATTATATAAAGAATAAGCTGCTTTTTGTATAAATACTTTATAAAATATGATATTGAACAATGGGGGGTTGGGGCTGAAAATTTGACATAACATGCACTCCAGTAACTCACTTTGTAAGAATCCCAATTAGACTCTAGTTCTCCCCTCCCAAGGCTTGCAGCCGCACATATTTTGTTTACCCCTGAATAATATTAATATTTTAAAAACCTACCCGCTTTTACACAGCAGATTAATTTCACTAACTATTTCAGGGGAAAAAAATATATATCAATATATAGAAAAACTGATTTTGGGGGTTTGCGGAATGGGGTTGAAAACTTGATCGAATGTGTTGCCATTGGCACCGAGTCTATGTGGCAAGTTTCAGCTCGATAGCTTGACGGGAAGTGGGTCAATTAGCCGTCAGAAGATTTGACCAGTCAGCCACACACAAAAATAGCGAAGTTAATATAAAGGATTTTTAAAAATACCACTCTCTTATTTTGAATATTGTATTTAAATGTTCGAATGTATTGGCGCCTGTTGGTCTTTGCTAAGATACGTCTTACACCGATTCCCTAGTGTGGGGATCATTTTGGGGCACGCGGGGGCTTTTCGAAAAGGATTTGCTTAAGAAGTAGCGGTCTCCGTGGTAAAATTCTTACTTAGCATTGTGACATCCACAGAAAGGATGAGCCCCACTGAATTATAAAGTTGCGAGTTCCACGGAATCAAACCCAATAAGCATATAAAAAAAAAATTTAAAACAAAGCCAGCACTCCGTGCATGATATCTATATGAATCCATTCAGATTTCGTCTGGTACTTTAGTAGTTAATCTCTTGAACTTGAAACCTTTTTTTAAAAATACATACAATTAGTTATAAATATTAGAGTACTGAACAAGGAAGCTCACACTTTAAATATTACATATTAATTTCACTGTAAATCGTTTCCGTTACATTTGCTACATCGAAGATAAGAACACTAATAGATAACTTTATTTTTTTTATTTTTTAATATTAAAAGTTAAAATTATTTATTTATTATCAGCGGAATTTTAAAAAACTTGGATGACATTTCCGTTTACGGTAAATGTCTATATTTCTTGCTTTCTAATTCCCTATCGGAAACGCCTTTATTATTTTTTTTTCTGATTTTATGGGATAATGATTTCTTAAACAACAAGCGTTGTAATAAGTTTTAAACTTAATAAGCAATTAATGAATTATTTTTTTTTTTATGAAAGTGATCAAGTGATTATTGGCCCAGAATACGCGACCCAAGACTAAGCATTTTTTTTTAAATATACATTTAAATGCCACCTGTTATCTTTAGTTGTTTGTTTTTTTTTTTCTTTTTTTTTAATTAAAGTTTAGATTCCATTAAATTAATTAATTAATAACCAACTTCTTTTGAGACTTCTGAATGACGGTTTACTATATCTATCATTAAAAGTATGAATCGAGCAGGATTTTAAAATTTCCCACGTGGTAATGATAGGTGGTTGATGTTGCATGTTGTTTACTTTTCCCTATACGAATTTTAATTTTAAAAAGTAATGAATTGTTAGCGTGAGTGTTGAAAAATGTTAATGTTGTTTCCTTTTTGATCAAGGGCTTGCTCTCCACTCGAAATGTTCATCTTGTAAAGCGTAAATGTTCTGTTTGAAACACAAGTCACTTTTGTTCGGTCGACTGAGTCTTCCTCGTGCTGACCTGTAAGGTCGACTAGGTTGATGACACGGCTCCAGTATGCTGGTTATGGGGGAAATAAGAAAAGGGGATTAATTTCTTTCATGCCTGAGTAAAAAGCTGAGTCACTCTAGCAGAGATTTTGTAAGCATTCGTTGATGTTTCTTTAATTTTAAATTTTTATTTATTGGATAATTTACGGATTAAAATTTTCTTGATTGAAAGTAGTTCATTTTTTTAAATGCTTAAAACTTTTGTTCTCTTAATTTTGAAGATTTTTTATGCGCATTAAAAAGTATAAAGGAAAAAAGTCTAAAATTCACAAAACTGGGCGTCGAAAGAGTCTTTTTATGTTTTCTTTCCTTAAAGTGAGCACAGTCCTTCGAATGTCAGAAATTAAAATTAGTTTATTTTTAAAAAGTAGTATAATACTTAATTTTTTGGAAATAAAATAATCCTGGTATTGTAGACATTCAAATTATTATTTTTTTGTTGTAATTTCTAGAACTTTTATAATTAATTAATCGAGCTTTCACTCACTTATTCTCTTGAATAGGGCTAGTTTGTGGAGGTACGTTGGAAATTGCAGACAGGGGTTGGGGGGGGGTGAGTTGGGGAGTGGTTCGGGGTGAGATGGGAGCTGGAAAATGATGTGACCAAATGGTGTAGGAATAAAGGGCAGAGGTGATTTGGATTTGACTGATTTCAGTGAACGTCAAATGACTAGACTGGGTGCAAAGCGGGCGGTGCAGGGGTGTGGTGAGAATGATTATATTTTGTGTCTGGTGGTAGATTAAAGGCACAAACATTTTGTGTACGTATAAACTGCAAATGAAAATTACAAGCAGCCTAACGAATTTTGGGCTATACGCCTTCATCAGCAAAATAAAATGTAACTGAACTATTATTATATCAGCTGACAACGGTATCCCGTCTATGACTTCTGTACATATAAAACTGTACATTCACACTATGCATTTAACACTGTACATTTAACACTGTACATTTAACTGTACAATAAAACACCATTTGTGTAGAGGTTAAGAAATACTATTATTATGTGAACTAACTTTCTAACACAGCTTTGTCGGAATAGGCTATCCGAGAAAGAAAAAGGTGACCCGCCCCAAATAGATTTAGATCGTACAATCTCGCTATATGGTATCTAAGTAATACATGATTAAGCAAAAGTCTCTACGGTCTAAATCTAGCAAGTTTATCCCGTGCACCGCTTATCTCTACGATAAGGTTAAGATGGACATAATTGAATCCCAGGTCAAGGAAATCGCCAGAGTTTGTTTGTTGTTTTTTTTTTGTTGTTTTTTTTTGTGGGTGGGGGGGGGGGGGCTTTTAAAGTATTTAAAACTTATTTTTTTTTTTTTTTTTTTTTTTTTTTGGGGGGGGGGGGGGGGGGGCTTTTAAAGTATTTAAAACTTATTTATACTAAGTCTTCTACAATCTTAATTATAATCTGCTGTCTTGAGTCTTTTATCTTCATTTTCATTTAAATTCAGACAATCGTCGTTCACCTCTGTAGTTTCATAATTGCTGAAATATTCCTCTATTGACGTGGCAGTGGAGCATGTGGTCGGGCACAGAGCTGTCGGGACAAGAAAGGAAAGGTGGGGGGGGGTATAGGTAACATCTACTATTGGGTAAGTCCTTGCAACCAGAGAACCCTTTTGTGTAAGTATTTAGATGTTATGAGACCGGGTTGCTGAAGTGCGTCACGCCTCATTTAAATCGTCTGTTCTTTGCTTGGGAGTCAACGTCAATTTTAAGCCCAGAGATTAGAAACGGGAAATATACAATTTTTTTTTTTTTGTAGATAATTTGGTGTCAGTCTAGTGTCTGACACATTAATCCCAAAAATGTAAACACATATTTTTTGACGTCATCGAACCCAGATTATGGGGAGGTCAAGACCAAAACTGTGTTTTGCTTGACAGTGGAGCCCCAATGGGAATGTTATCGTCATGACGTCAGTTACATAAGTACGTTGCTAAAAACATGGCCCGTGACATATAATAATAATAATTTTCCCTTATTGAATAAATTCTAAGAATACTATGAGAGGATTTTTTTTTAATTGTCATTCATTTAGAATAAAAACAAAACGGTTGACCAGTCTTTTTAGATCTTAGAGTTTAAGAATTTTCACAACATCATGTGAGCAAAAAATATATACCAACTCTTTGTGAATCATGTTGTTTGTTGGGGTTTGTTTTAATAGTTGTCATTCAGTATGAATGTATAAGATAAGACTTATCTGCTCGTGAGAAGCCACACGCAGTCATGGCGTGGACAGATCATGTGACTAAGATGGCATCGTTGCACTCAAAACTCCAACCGTTAAAACCAGCTGGGGTTGGGTTGGCAAGCATTTCACAAACCATTCACAAATCATCTCAGGTAAGACATTTTTTATGGAAATACAAAAAAAATTTTTTAATGTGTTTCGGCAACATTAATACTGTCTAGTGCTATCAACTGTTGGTGAAGTGGGCTCCACTTTAACATGCTGTCATTTATTGGTGAAACATGCTCCACTTTAACATGCTGTCAAATATTGGTGAAATATGCTCCACTTTAAGATGCTGTCAAATATTGGTGAAACATGCTCCACTTTAACATGATGTCAAATATTGGTGAAACATGCTCCACTTTAACATGCTGTCAAATATTAATGAAACATGCTCCACTTTAAGATGCTGTCAAATATTGGTGAAAAATGCTCCACTTTAACATGCTCTCAAATATTGGTGAAACATGCTCCACTTTAACATGCTGTCAAATATTGGTGAAACATGCTCCACTTTAAGATGCTGTCAAATATTGGTGACAACATGCTCCACTTTAACTTGCTGGCAAATATTGGTGAAACATGCTCCACTTTAGCATGCTGTCAAATATTGGTGAAACATGCTCCACTTTAACATGCTGTCAAATATTGGTGAAACATGATCCACTTTAAGATGCTGTCAAATATTGGTGAAACATGCTCCACTTTAACATGCTGTCAAATATTGGTGAAACATGCTCCACTTTAAGATGCTGTCAAATATTGGGGAAACATGATCCACTTTAAGATGCTGTCAAATATTGGGGAAACATGCTCCACTTTAACATGCTGTCAAATATTGGTGAAACATGATCCACTTTAAGATGCTGTCAAATATTGGTGAAACATGCTCCACTTTAACATGCTGTCAAATATTGGTGAAACATGCTCCACTTTAAGATGCTGTCAAATATTGGGGAAACATGCTCCACTTTAAGATGCTGTCAAATATTGGGGAAACATGCTCCACTTTAAGATGCTGTCAAATATTGGTGAAACATGATCCACTTTAAGATGCTGTCAAATATTGGTGAAACATGCTCCACTTTAACATGCTGTCAAATATTGGTGAAACATGCTCCACTTGACCAAAAAACGATCTCTGAATGGTGTTTGTGTACCCTCTGCAAACGAATGACGTAGAAGCTAGTAGTCGTGTTGAACTTTGAGTTACATCAAATACTCGATGCCATTTGATACGTTTTGAGATCACCTGACATTGCTTTGTTTTGTTTTCTATTGCGCAATCCATTCAGAAATCGCTATCAATAGTTTAAATTTCAGAAATAAAAGTTGTTGTTTTATTTTAATCAGTTAAGCCTTCTTTAAAAATTCACGTTTAAAATATGCATCATACTTCCTAATCCACAATGGACAGCAGCATGCCCTGCAACATCAGTCAATAGCAAAAAGAAGTTTCACTAGAGGCGTCACTAGATTTTTAACTAGAGGTGTCACTAGAGGTGTCCGTAAAGGTGTCCCTAGAGGCGTACCTAGATTTTCCACTAGTGGTTTCACTAGAGGCGTCACTAGATTTGTAACTAGAGGTGGCACTAGAGGGGTCCGTAGAGGTGTCACTAGAGGTGTCCGTAGAGGTGTCTCTAGAGATGTACCTAGATTTTCCACTAGTGGTTTCACTAGAGCGTCACTAGATTTGTAACTAGAGGTGTCACTAGAGGTGTCCGTAGAGGTGTCCCTAGAGGCGAACCTAGATTTTCCACTAGTGGTTTCACTAGAGGCGTCACTAGATTTGTAACTAGAGGTGTCACTAGAGGGGTCCATAGAGGTGTCACTAGAGGTGTCCGTAGAGGTGTCCCTAGAGATGTACCTAGATTTTCCACTAGTGGTTTCACTAGAGGCTTCACTAGATTTGTAACTAGAGGTATCACTAGAGGTGTCCGTAGAGGTATCCCTAGAGGTGTACCTAGATTTTCCACTAGTGGTTTCACTAGAGGCGTCACTAGATTTTTAACTAGAGGTGTCACTAGAGGTGTCACTAGAGGTGTCCGTAGAGGTGTCCCTAGAGGCGTACCTAGATTTGTAACTAGAGGTGCCCCCTGGAGTTGTCACAGAATAGAAAAATAATCGCGGTCCCATCCTGATCCAAAGGACAAAGAACTACATATTCATCATACTGTACCCAAGTGTTCCAAGAGACGGAGAAAGACCTTGCATTCCCCAGAGAAAGAGTAAATAAAAAATAGCAAAAACGCACAGAAAGCCAACTTGGCAATATTCTCCAAAACACTAATCAACATCGCTTAGAACGTCAATGGTTTGTGACACATTGGTGTCAACTGTGTCCTTTTTCGCCTTTCATTTGTATATATATATAAAAAAGTAGTATTTCTTTTCTGTTTTCTCGTTTGAAGACCAAATAAAGTTGTCCATCTCTTCTCGTCGGAGGTATGGAATGTAATTATTTTTTTTTTTAATGTTGTCTTTAATCCTAGTTTTCTTTTTTTTTTATTTTCATAGGTAAGTCCGGCAACATGTCCTTCTTAGTCGCCATTTTCCTTTGCCTTCCGGCCCTGACCTTGTGCCAAGTAGATGAAGTACATACACTTGCGGATGATGTCTTCCGTAGACTTGACCTTGATGGCGATGTCCATGTTGAAAAACAGGAACTTGTCGATTATTTTAAGGTTAGTCTCTGACCCCGTTTTAGGCTTAAGTTATAACAGAGCTTCTTGATTTTTTTTTATGGTAGTTGATACAAATCTATATGGTTTTTAAAATGCTAGGCCTCCAAACTTTTTTCTTTTTATTGAAATAACGAGATGAGTAAAGTGTTGTTACGTGTACTAAAGAAAATCATAATTTTTCTAGCGCAAGCATGATGACTAAAGATAGTTAATCCCAATTTTAAACATCAGCGTTCAGATTTTAATCTGTAGTAATCAATTAGGTTAAGAATTCTTATAGCTTTCTTGATTTCTTTCTTCTTTTTTTATTATAGCTGACTTTGCATCCTTTAGTTCTCTGCTGTTATTTTTTTTTCCTTTTCTTTTTACCTTTATATCCCCTTATCTTATTGCCTATTATTATTAATATTGATATTAGTTTTAAAAAACTGTGGATTGGATCGATACTTAAAACACCAATTCTAATAGTTTTAAAAGGAATTACAAAATATCTTGATTCAAAATTATATGATTTTTTTTTTTAATCATTCAAATTTCACCCGAGGTTGTCGGGGCATGGACCATGGTAAAAGTTCAAATACCCCTTTTAAATATGAAATTATCGCATTCTTATTATAAAAAAAAAAATCTGAAGTTGTCTTCTTGATGTCTGTATAAAAAGACCTACGACCGTAATGGAGACGGAAGAGTCTCCCAACAAGAGTACGTCACCGTGATCGACTCCATCTACGCGAGTAACCCCGAGTGGCAACGCATAACCCACGGTCTCTTCAACAAGTTGGACTACAACAACGACATCCACCTCGACGTGCTGGACTACGACAGGATCTTCTCCTCTGCCGACGCCAACGCCAACGGTCTAGTGGCTGAGAATGAATTTAACACGTGAGTGGGTGGCTTTAACGTGACGATGAATATAACTTTAAAAACTGTTAGCATAGGTAGACATGACGAACAGAAGCAAATATGCATTTAGCATACCTGGCGATATAACCCGTACCGTTAAAATTTTGTATTAATCTCAATATGACGTAGGTGTATGGTAGAACTCAGGGGGGAAATAGTTGTCAGTTTTAAGCTAGGTCACAGATCAGAGCATTTTTTGGTTTTTTAACTTCAGTAAGTAGATAGATAAAGTTCCAGGCGTAAAAACAGGCGTTGGGTATAATAAAGAGGTCACGTGTGAATTAGGTTCATATATATAGAGTGTCGAACAGGTGCCTATGTCTAAAGTAAGTGCCAAGAGTAGCACGTGTGTAGCTTAAATCAAATAACAAGATCTTATGATATAAAGTTTTGATTCCTTTTGTTTCACTCCTTTCTTTCAGATTTTTTCATAATCTTGTGAATGGAAGACCGTAAGACAAAGAAAAAGCGCTCTCAGTTCTGACAGCTAGATTTAAATATATGGATATTAAACAAATACTTTTCATCTATCAATTTCTTCCTTTTAATTTTTTATACGTGTATTTTATTTTACCTGGTGTTTTGAAAACTCTTGATCTAAAGCCTTGCAGGCGCATCGTGTGGTACATTTTCATTGCGTTAATGTGTACCGGGGCATTTTTTCTTCTAGCATGGATCTTAAACTACTCAGCTAAAAATCTTAAACCTAACCCTAAATCTATCCCTAAACGTAACCCTAAATCTATCCTTAAACCTAACCCCAAAGCTATCCCTAAACCTAACCCTAAATCTATCCGTAAACCGAACCCTAAATCTATCCCTAAACCTAACCCTAAATATATCCCTAAACCTAACCCTAAATCTATCCCTAAACCGAACCCTAAATCTATCCATAAACCTAATCCTAAATCTATCACTAAACCTAACCCTAAATCTATCCCTAAACCTAACCCTAAATCTATCCCTAAACCGAACCCTAAATCTATCCCTAAACCAAACCCTAAATCTATCCCTAAACCGAACCCTAAATCTATCCCTAGATCTAACCCTAAATCTATCCCTAAACCTAACAGTAAGAAAAGCTAAACAAAATAGTTGTAGAATAATGAAAGAGCAACTGACAGTTTCATAGAATACACTTTTAGACAATGTATTTCAGGTTCCACCAAAAAGAAAATGCAGTAAAATGCAAAAATTGTCAGAAAATAAATACAAGATAACAATTTCACTCATTTTCCGGAATGCCGGAAAATTTAAATACTACTATTAACCAACCAATGAAATTGTGATTTTAAACAAGATTACTTCGTCGTATTAAGGAAAAGTTAACGCTAGTAACAACAAGATCAACAAAAGGGTGAGAATCCTATACAGACCCAAGCCGTGACGCAGTGAACGTAAATTGGCCCAAAACATTATATAAGGAGTTGATATTGTGTTTGAAATACTATTTTCATATTCTGATAACACGAATAGGACTGCAGCTTATGATTGAAATAAATGAATTTTCAGAAGAGGTTGTCGATGAATCAAATTGATCACTGAATTGAAAAAGAATAGATTTTATTTTAAGAAGAACTACTTGCAGAAAAAGACAAACTCAGCTTGCAGGTATATTGTTGACAGGAAATGGTAGACATGTTCAGTTACGGAAGTGACGCATGAACTTAAAGAATGCAGGTATGAGATTAAAAATGAATAGTAAAAGATTCGAAATGAGTAAGTAAAATCAAATTAATAAGATTTGATAAGAGGGGAATCGAAGATTGCTATAAAACATCGACGGCTGCGTGGGTGAGTACACAAAGATGTTTTAGGTGTTGCAAACATCATGGAAAGAACCCACAGGGCGAATGGGCTTGACCGACAGATAGTCAGAATTGGTCTCGTAATTAAGGCTTAACATATATTGTTTTATGTAGATCAACTGTTTGTGTCGTATTAATCTACTTGAAAGCTTTATGTCAAGTTTATACTTTCGTATGGTTAAGAAGGATGGCGGTCAGTACAGACACATTGGAAAAGACGTCAAACATTCATGGATAGTCGACTACATAGCAACCTTACCATCAGGTTGTTTCCCAAAAATACAAGAAAATAGTTTGTTCATAAGGGACGAGGGGAAAAGAAACTTAGCGGTAACTAGTCATGGAATAAACGGGGGCAGCGAAAAGGAGATAGCGAGAGTAGGCAAGTAAAAGAGAGTATGACATTCATACCATGTGGTGTCAGGGTCCCGTAGGTGTGTATCAGTTTGTTTTCCAAAATAAACCTTGCTTGGGTGTTGGCAGAAGACACAGTGGTCATAATGGACACATTAATCGAGCCATTTTGGTCATTCCTTTTGAAGTGAGAAGAGACGGGACTTGTCTTGACCAATGTTACGTAGTTGCTCACTGAACACATCAGCCGGTCGTTGGCCTGTCTCTCCCCCATAGCATTTGATGCATCGTTTAAATAATATTGTGTAAACCACATTCTAATTATTTTCTCTCTCTCTCTCTCTCTCTCTCTTTGTGTTTGCCGAGAGTTACAAATATCTATACGTAAAGCAAGAGCCAATTTTATGTTTGTGTTCTCTCCGTGATATCTGCCTCATGTCCCGCCACCCCCCCCCCACCCCCACAAGTCCTCGCTACTCTCTACAGAATAAGCGAAGGTTTGAGGAATAGAAACTTCTTGTTTCGTATTAAAACGTCTTTTCAAGCATGGATCAGCCTCCGTAGCGCCATTAAAGGAATACGGGGGTGGTTCGAGGGTTAAAAAAAAGGGGGGGGGGGTACACAAAATTGAAAATGATAATGTTACAGAACATGCTCCAAGCGCAACACAAAAAGATTTTTTTGATCTTGCCAATAATAAATTTGCATCAGATAGAAATGAAGAAAATGAGGAGAGAAAAAAAGGGGAGGGGGGGTTGTTGCAAAGGGGCATCAGCAGACTCTGGAATCACTCTCGAAGAGAACAACATGGCGATAAATGAGTGTATTTATAGTTTTGATTGCTGCCTCAAGATCTGAACAAGAGCCATCAATAAATTATATTTTTAGCAGATATCTTTGATGCTTTTCAAAGCAAGAGTTTTCTGTCGGTCACTGAATTAGACTTAGTGCTTTCATTTCCCCAAAAACGTGTACTTTCTATTGTGATCTAACGCACGATGTCAATTTTCGTGAAATTCCAAGGCGGACAACAGCAGATATTAGTGAGACAAAATAACACACACACACACACAAAAACTGGTCGATATTTGACGTTCTAAAAGTCATAGAATAATTAGGCTACCTAGTATGTCTCCAATTCCTTTTACCCACCATGCAATAATGCCTTACGAACGGTGTGTTTATGACTTCATCTTAGAGGCGCTTTTCAATTTTAAAAGAGACTTGATGATTCATCATGTGCCTTTCGATTTCGTCTAATGAACTTTTTTTTTATGATGAAAGAAAGCTGATCTCAATTAGCAACTGTACAGCTTTGATCAACGGGAAAGGGAAATTTTAACTGCAAGGTTCAATGTTATCATAAAAATCAACTTAACTTTGTTGCGCTACTTAAAACAGTGGTAGCTCGGATTCAATTAGACCTAACCTTATTTTTTTTATTTTTTTTTTTGCAAAATTGTTACTTGAATTAACAAACTTTACTATAGGTTAAGGGTCTCAAACTCAAATCATCCGGGGCCCGCAGGAGGCAGAGTCTGAATGAGACAGGGCCGCATTAAGTATTCCACAAAAAGCTTTGATTGCAGATTCATTAAAGTACATCTGTTACAATATGCTCAACCTTTATTAATAACAAATAAAAACATTCAGGGCTCTCAAAAAGTAGGCTTCACGTTCTTCCTCTACTCCTTGTTGCCAGAGATTTGGCAGTGCTTCTTTTTACACAGGTGAGCAATATTTGGCTTGAGGGAGGAAGCAACTGAGACCCTCAGTATAGCTCGAAGATGCTCATCAGAAAGTTTGGGACTGAACTTTGACTTGTTTAAGTTCATAGTGGAAAAGAGCTTTTCACACAGGTACTCTAAAAAAAATGGCAAATGATCCGCTTGAACACATCGGAAATCTCAGGGAAGGTGGAGGACTATTCTCTTAAAAATTTTCCAAGTTTGTCTATTGTTCCTTTCCCCTCGCAGAACTTAGAATTGCACTGAAGATCAATAAGCTCACTTTGAAGCGCAAGAGGGGTTCGGAAAAAAAAAGGGGGGGGGGGGCATCTTCCACATCAAATGAGAAAGGGTCAGCAAACATTTGAAAAGTGTTTTAAAGTCTAAAAACATGTGATCAAATTGTTCATGTAGCTTTGTAATTTCATCAATACTTTCCCCTCGCAGAACTTAGAATTGCACTGAAGATCAATAAGCTCACTTTGAAGCGCAAGAGGGGTTCGGAAAAAAAAAGGGGGGGGGGGGGCATCTTCCACATCAAATGAGAAAGGGTCAGCAAACATTTGAAAAGTGTTTTAAAGTCTAAAAACATGTGATCAAATTGTTCCTGTAGCTTTGTAATTTCATCAATGTACTTACTACTGAATCGTGTGCCCAAGTCCATGAGTATTTTGCATGTTGGGAAATGGAAGATGTTTCTCTAAGAACCATAACACAATTTTTGTGCAGAATGCCCTGACATTGTCATAGGCAAAACTGACAAGCTGACCCTGGTCGTGTAACTTCTTGTTGAGTACATTTTGCTCCTGTGTAATGACAACAAGTAAAGCTAAGTCCATGGGCCATTTTGGGATGACTTAGTACAGGAACATCTAATCCATCCTTCTCCATGAAGGCTTTGAAACAGTAGGCAGGAACAGGCAATGTTTATGACTTATTGATGCAAAGAAAAAAGCCATTGTAGGAAGAATGAATTTTGATTTTTATCGTAGAAAATGCCTTTTGACTAACCCTATTTTGAAACACTAGCGGCAATTTTAATACTTATTAATAGAGATTCTTTGATATTGTGTCCGATTGCTACGATTTACACAATTATGTGTGTGCATCACTCACTAATTGACTGTTTAAACTTTTCTCAAAACCTCACGTTGGCCGCCATGTTTGTCTCAGAAAAGGCAATAAAAAACTTTTTGCCGATTTTAAAACGGTTTTTACCATGTAATCAACGTCCAAATCTTTACAAACGTAATAAATAATCAGAATTCGACTAGTCCCTGACATTCGACTGAAACCTTCGCGGAGGGTCACAGTATCGATATGGGGACAAGTCGTTGCCGTATTAACACCAAATTTTGCTGTCAAGTAGCGGGCCGCCAGTTTGAGACCCCCTGCTACAGGTAAAGGTGGGCGCGAAGGAGGTCCATGAGTGAAGAATTGTGGGAGGGTCGATGATGGCACCATGGCTTTACTGCACTGTAAGGTACTAGTCCCCGGTGACGCCCACTGACGCGTCTGCGTACTTCTTTGTGACGCATTGTCATTGAAATATTTGTGTGGGGGGGGGGGAAGAGTGGACGAACTCGCGTGCCCCATGCACACTAGATTTGCATGAGACAGTTCATGTGTTTGGGGATCTTCGTCGTCACAGATTGAAACATATTGAACTGATTTTTTTTTTTTTTTGTTTAATGGCAATTTAATATCCTTGTTATACACGAGATAAAGAAAACAAACTCTATTAGCCACAATATGTCAGATTTACAAGCTGAAGTGGCTATCTCTCGGATAAGATTGGCGGTTGGCAAGAATGGTCACTGTGCCGAGGACATGACTGGTAAACGGGTCACTGGGATAAAAAGTGAATGGTCTCGTGGACATAATAATAAAGATTAGCTTTGGGAATCAGGAACTGCGGACCCACGGTACACACGTTGAATCCGGCCCACCAACTGATATTATCTATATTATTAGCGTTGTGGATCAGGAGCTTCGGACCTACGGTTCGAATGTTGAATCCGGCCCACCAACTGTTATTATATGGTCCAAAGTCTCAAGGCTCAACGGCATCAATCGCACCCTCAAGTATTTTTATTGATTTAATTTGGAGACGTGTTCCTATTTGTGTCCTAATATTCTTTTCTTTACGTTTATCCGTCGGTTCCAGGACTTGTCACGGGCAAAAACCGCGAAGTCTGGACGGGGGATGGAGCATCCACTCTTTCCGATTCAGCGGTGTCGTCCCCGTCCCCCCACTCCGTCCCCCCACTTCCACGCCGCTGGCTAACCCAAAGAAACGCCAAAATGTCGAAACATCTTGGCATCAGTGTCGGGGAGGGGGGGTCGTCGCAGGAGTGATTTGAGTTTAATACCGGACCGCATGTTGCACTCCCTTAACATTTAACCCATGTGGTTTTCCTTCTCTAGTATGTTTTGATTTATCCTGTGACTGAACCAATGAGCTTTGTACTCAGGAATAAAGATTCGTGAATGAAAATGTGTAAAACCGCTTGTACTTCTGAATTAATGGCCACGGATCACATGTGCGATGAACGGTTGAAGAAACAAAAATCAAATCAAGCTGGAAAACTGCCTCCCGCATTTACATGAATCTTTGTAATATTATGTGACTTAGACAGTTACAACTGAAAATAGAAAAGTTTCACTTTGTATGTAAATATATGCTATGTATATATATATATATATATATATATATATATATATATATATATATATATATATATATATATTATATATATTTTTTATAGATTATTTTTTCAGACTTTTCATTCAATGAAATCTGACCGTCACAAAGATAAGAAGACCACACCACCAGTCCTGGGAAAACAGCATGAGGTCACTTCATGGACAGGTCACATGACCAACAGGTGACGTTTTAGCACCATCGTAACCTGCCAATAAAAGCTGCAACCATCTTTAAAATCTTGCACACTTTTATTTTTTGATATCAAGGCATCTCAGGTGAGGAAATCTTAGTGCCTTTAGTATTAATTCAAATTGAAATGCCATAAAGGGTCAAGGGTAAAAAAAAAAACTATTTGTAATGTGTCTAGGTGTGTGTATCCAATTACCACTTTCTGTCTATATGTGTTTATTTAATTACCACTTTATTTCTAGATGTGTGTATTTAATCACCACTTTCTGTCTAGTTGTGTGTATCTAAATTCTTATTACCACTTTCTGTCTAAGTTTGGGTATATAATTACCATTTTCTGTCTAAGTGTGGATATCAAATTGCCACTTTATGTCTAGCTATGTGTAACAAATTACCCCTTTCTGTCAAGGCGTGTGTCTCTATTTACAACTTTCTGTCTAGGAATAATTGTTTTACATTCAATATATTGCAATTTTCATCAATAATTTCTTTCTTCCATGCATAATTTCTAAGGTCTACTGACTTCAGCACCATGTCTTACCTATTCGCTCTTTTACCCTGCCTTCTGGCTTTGGCCTTGTGCCAGAATGAAATAAGGACGCTAGCTGACGCCCTCTTCGTCAAATTAGATCTTGACAATGACGCCCATATCGAGAAACCGGAAGTAGGAGATTATTTTAAGGTTTGTGAAGCCATTTTAAAAGTGCTTAAAATTGATGCCTCAGCTTGTTCACAGATTTGATCATGTAATGGCCTGTTTTGGGGGGGTCGTGGAAAATTCATCTGTTTTACTCTCATTTGATATGTCAAAAAATATAATGTTTGTTTTGGTATTTTTTACACTTTGTCTATCAGACCTTTGACCGCAATGGGGATTCAAGAGTGTCCCAACAAGAATACGTCACCGTTATAGACGCCCAATACGGCGATAACCCCGAATGGCAACGCATACTCCATAATGTCTTCGGCAGACTGGACTTCAACAATGACAACCATCTTGACGTCCTCGACTATGACAGACTCTTCTCCTCTGCTGATGTCAACGCCAACAGCTTGGTCAACGAGCTGGAGTTTTACAAGTAAGTTGTCGTATTTGATCGTCCAGAGCAAGGCTGCACAACATGTGGCCCGCGGGCCGAATGCGGCCCGCCAGCACTCATTTTGCGGCTTGCAACGTAACGAAACGTTTGCTATTATTATAATTTTCTCAAAACCTTTACCTCCTGTTCTACTTTCCTTCGGCCCGCACATGTTTTTTTCATAAAGTATTACGGCCGACCTTACATTTTGAATTGTGCAGCCCTGGTCTAGAGCAGTGGTCCCCACACCTCGACACATTAGAGTACCTCATTCCCCAAAGCATATGTTATTTGTGGATCTCAACTTTGCACTGAATACCCGGGTGTTTTAAAATAAAAATGTTATATTTTTAACAAAGTCCTACATTCAATAATATACGTTGTGCTTCATGGTAACAAAAAAAACTCAAGGGTATGGCTCCAGAAACTGTAATTAAATTACGGTTCAAACAATTTAAGAATGTTGCTCACAATAAAATGACTGATAGGTTAAAAGTAAAGATGTTTAGCGACACTAGGATCTCCGGAAACATGAGAATAAAATGTTCAAGATTTCAGGGAATTGATATCATGGGGTTATTGCGAGTAAACTTTCAACATTTTACTTGAACAAAAAATCAGTCCCAAGTTCCGAAAGAAAGACAGTTTTCAGTTTTAAACAAGGCTTATTGGTGCACACATCAGAACTGTATTGTACGCAGCCGTCGTGGTAAAACAGAGAAAGTTAAATGACCGAATAAATAATATATAGGTAGTTCGAGGAAGTTATACAAATGACGAAAAAGGATCTATTCAGAATGGATCTCGACTTGTGATCGAAATTCCCCATAAATTCTTGAAAACCTCTGGTAGTTCTAATTTAAAAACGCTTAGCGAACTCATTCAGAGATTTAAGTAAATAAATATTTACGAGAACTACACAATTAAAAATCCCCCCCCCCCCGGCCCAATCCATGACAGAGGTTTAGTTTTCATCGTGATTCACTAGAGCTAAGTTCACATAAACAAATACTCATGCACAGCTTTAATCCTATGTTACTATTTCTGTTTCAGCTTCTTCCACAGCCTTACCCTCTAATCGCTGACGCCCGAGTATGTTATATACAGTTCTTCTTCCACAACCGTACCATCTAATAGCTGACGCTCAAGTACATTATATTATACATAGTTCTAATAAGAATAAACTATCATGTGACACATCGTGCCGCGTTGTCTCCCTGGTTTGGATAAATGCTTGTAGAAGACACAATATTATGTAGAGAGTGCTACCTTAGCCCATGGCATGGCCGGCACTACGCCTGGGGGCAAGTCAGATCATAACCCATGGGTGATGATGATGATGATTGAGTATCTTTGTAGCGCTTGCGTCCATGATGTTTAAGCGTGCTCGCGGCGCGCTGGTGCCCTAAAATCTATTTCAAGAAAAAAGTCTTTAAATGGTTCTTAAATGAATTTGTATCATTTGCAATCTCCCTCAAAGATTGAGCCATATTGTTCCACAATTTAGGCGCAATAGCTTCAAAAGAGCGCACCCCACGTGACTTCTTTCTGAGTCCATCCAAACTTGTAACCCTCAGTAAGGGTGTTGAAGAGTGCAGTTTCTGTATGAATACATGTTTAGAAATAAGTTTTTGAAGATATACAGGTGCAGAGCCCTCTATACAGCTATACGCCAGCGACAGAATTTTGTGTTCAATTCGCTTACTCACAGGAAGCCGTTGGAGATCTTTAAGGACTAGGGTGTTGTGGTCAGATGTCTTTACACGCGTGATATGCTATAACTAGTTTTACATAATTCCGTATCTTCTTTTGAAGACATTCCATCTAATCAACAACTGACAGAACACAAGACACACGTTCCAGAAAAATTTCATGCCATCAATTATCTTTTGCTGGGTGTGGATTTTCAAACTAACTCATCATTATTTGGAACATTCTGCATTAAACTGAAAACATTTTAGATACAAAAATATCATCCGTTGCAGAAACAATATTCGCATGGCGAAAATTTGGTGGGAAACAAAAAAAAAAAAACTAATATATAAAAAAAATTAACCCTAATAATAAAATTTAATCATGGATCTGATGATCAATGATTGCCTGGAAGAGGGACAAGTGCTGCTATTTAAATTGTGTTTTCATTTTCTGGAGGCCATTGTTTACTTTATCTGGATGTTCCTTGTGTATATGTATGTGTGTGTGTGTGGGGGGGGGGTTGTAAGGTGTAACAGATGACTGTTGAAATACTCTCCATCCCAGCTTCGATCATCTCAAAACATCGTGTCTGTCAGGACCACTAGCCACTGTTGACGTCATCTCAACAAAAAAAAAACTATCCAAGCATAACCGTACGAGAGATGTCCGATAACAACGGCTGATAATTGTTTAATGGCCTAATTGTGTTATCCAAACCGAACGATCTTAATGGGGGCTTTTAAGACCTGAGCAATTAATCTTGCCTAAATTGTTTTAATAGAATAGTTTGTTGTTATTTTTTTCATTTTTTTTTTTCAAAATAATTCTTGAAATCAAATATTTGTCATTTGATTTTTAATAGCCGGCTGCAGTTTTTAGATCAAGATTTTTCTGCCTTGATTTAAAATGTTATGATGTTTGTGTTGCATTTTTTAATTACAAGATTGTTGAAGCAGTGCTATTGCCCTTTCATCTTTGGAATTGCTTCATGATTTATTTATTTTGTGTTGCATTTCTTAATTACAAGATTGTTGAAGCAGTGCTATTGCCCTTTCATCTTTGGAATTGCTTCATGATTTATTTATTTTGTGTTGCATTTCTTAATTACAAGATTGTTGAAGCAGTGGTATAGCCCTTTCATCTTTGGAATTGCTTCATGATTTATTTATTTTGTGTTGCATTTCTTAATTACAAGATTGTTGAAGCAGTGATATTGCCCTTTCATCTTTGGAATTGCTTCATGATTTATTTATTTTGTGTTGCATTTCTTAATTACAAGATTGTTGAAGCAGTGATATTGCCATTTCATCTTTGGAATTGCTTCATGATTAATTTATTTATTTTATTTTTTTTTTGTATCTTAAACAAACAAAAATAGTACTTTTTTTTTTTTTTAAATCATGAAGATAAAATCAAGCGTGCAACGTCATGTTATTTCATTAAATAATGACGTAGACTAATGTTTTTCCACGGCCCCAATTTTTAAATAGGTCAAAAAGGGGGGGGGGTGTCCGGGGTGTCAAATTAAAATTTATCAAATGCTTTTACTGAGAAAATACTAACGCGACGCAACACAAAGTGAACTTAATAATAAATTATGACTTTTGAAACTATCAGGGAATATCAAGATTGCGCTTATGAATCTTCTTGTCTTTAATGACATTACGTATTATCTAATTAAGTTCACCGGCTACATCTGGCTGACCAGACCCCTTCTTGACAAATTATCCTGCGGGCGACGTTGAACGTGTATATTATACAGAATCCAGAGAGAGAGATATTGTTTGGCAAAGGAAAAATGCATAAGTATTGATATTTATTTAGGAGAAATTACTATAGATTTCTTCAAAGAATTGACTTTCGGTACGGTCATGCAATGCTTTCAAAGTGTCTTTTTCTCTATATAATGTGTGACTTTTCAACAAGGATTCGGAAAGTTTAAATATAATTATTTATTTTTTTAAATGATTGGATTTACGATTATCGGTTATGAAATTCGATTACCGGTTGTTGATTTTTTTTGAAACCTTTTAATTTATTTTTCAAACATTAAAATTAATTCAGAAATATTTTTTAAAATAAATTTTAAAAGACTTTATAACAAGCCTGCACAACATACGGCCCGCGGGCTGCATGAGGCCCGACAGCACCCACTTTGTGGCCCGCGAGGTAACGAAAAACTGCGGCCGTAAGTTGTGCAGGCCTGGCTTACACTGATGGATTATAAATATCGTACTGTTCCGAAAATTGGCCACACAGATTACCTCCCATTGTTCGCATATATTGGTATTCTTATTTATTTTATTGTTCGCATCTTCACAAGTGTAAAAACTTTCAAAATACGGTAGTATTTAAGGTCTATACTTTTTGTATCAAACGTGCTCAAGGTTTTCAAAAAAAATATTTCATCATAAAATTAATATTTTTTTAACGTTGGGATAGATTTATGTGTTAATTTTTAATTGTATGATGGCATCACGCTTTGAACAATATAGCTATTCAACGTTGATAATTAAAAAAAATTGTCAACATGACATCTTTAAGCCCCTAAAATATCCGAGGCCCCCTGCAGCCATAGGGGTCACTTCAATGGATCTGGGTTTAAGTGACACCTTTTTTTTTTTACCAAAATCTCTTCCGTTACACTCCAAATAAGTGTAGAATGTTGCGAAACTAAATTCAAGAATGTGCTAAAATTCATTCTTGCATTTTGAATTTATCAAAACTTTTCTGGGTAAAATAAAGATTTAAGGGGCGACACAACTGGAATGAATTTAGTTCATGTTACGGCAGAGTTAGAGGAGTCCTTGATCGTTATTAAATTATTAATGCTAATGGAAGCGATTGTCATCCCAAAGTCTGAAATGCGCCATTAATATTGTCTTAAAGAAACGCCAAATTCAAGTCTGCGCCAAAATGCATCCTTGCATATTGAATATGCTCGAGTCTTCGGCGCTCTCAGTTTCTGCACCCATCTCCCCTCAGGTTGATCAATGTGACAGTGCGTGTTAAAATTTAAGCTTGTGCTAAATGATTACCCTGGGGCGCGCCACAATTGGAGTGAATTCAGTTTGAGTATTGCACTGGTCGCCCTAACGACTCTCATGGACGCTTCAAAACTCCTTCCCCGATTAAATAGTCTAATAGAAATGCTGAATTTTGGTTTACTCCAAAATGCACCTCTTTATAATGAAATATTCACAAAATGCTGGTGCGTGGGCTCCCCAGGCAACCCTTTCGATCAAGAGCCATCAGCACCCTCGATTTCTGCCTTACTTCTTTAGTTTTCTGAAAATGCCACCCCTCCATAATAAAAAAAAAAAGTGACACCTGGACAGATACCCCATCCATCCCATTTCTACGCCAATGACAGAGGCATAGCTGTAGTGTTTGGCGTCAGGGGAAAAGATAAATTTTACGCCCACCCCCTGCCCTCAACTCTGAAACCCATTATTTATTGTAAAGGAATTGAGTGTACAAAAACGAATTACCAAGAAGGCATTTTATCCACTATCGTTGTTCAAATTACTGCCATTGTACAAGTACAAAGTGCATCTGAAATACAACTGTACTTTGTGCTTGACATTAAAATGTGGTTTCTTATCTCTATTCAAGACACACGGAGATGAACTCTTAAAGCCACCTGTGGATTTCACTGTGATGCGTATCGTACTGGTTCTTTGAGATTGTTAAAAAAAAAAGCTAACTTTGCTGCAACCATTTATTATACATTGATTGCTCTGAGGCAAACACTTTTCCAGGTTTGTTCATGCGAAATGCATTTGATTATTATTTAGTATATTTTAGGACTACCGTATAGATTTTAAATGTGCAGTGCAGAGACCTTACAATTAATGCTAATAGTTTACATTTGGAAAAATGTATAGTTAACGGGAAAATGTTTGGTTTACAAACCGTTTTGGTAAAAAAAAAAAAATATTTATTTAATTAGGACACACACAAAAAATGCTGTATCTGGTCACCATCTTGATATGCCTTACGGCCTTGACCCAGTGTCAAATACCGGATATCAATGCCGTCGCTGCAGATGCATTCAAGCAAGTGGACACTGACGCGGATGGTTACATAGTGAGAGGGGAACTGAACCATTACTTTGCCGTGAGTCTGTCCTCCTGAGTTGTTAAAAACGAGACCGTGTTCGAGGTTAACGTCTTTGATTTAAAACAGGGGCGTCATTTACTTTTTTTTACAGCAAAAAAAAAAAAAAAGGGGGGGGGGNGGGGCAAAACCAAAACTTGGTTGGCTTGTAAAGTTGGCTATTACTGGAGGCTCCACAGTACATAGCAATTTAAATAAAACCTGCAAATTCAGGGGGGGGGGGATGACCCAACCTGCCCTACCCAAAATGACGTGCCTGATTTAGAAACTCTAACCCTTCTCTAGGGAGGTGGTCAGAGTTGTTGTTTTTTTGTTGTTGGTGTTTTTGTTTTTTTTTTGTTTTTAAAGTAAACACAAAAACTTTTATATAAAACTATTCTCTCAAAACGTTAGCTTCCCCGAGCCGATGGTGATGAGGTGATGCGTGTTAATATGGGTGATGTCTGCTAATTACTTTGTCGATGTCTCAAGCGTTTTGGACTACGTCTAACTTAAATTACCTGTGCTCTTCGTACAACTGTAACTGACTAAGAAATTATTTTTTTATAATTGTTATATACAGACTGTATTTATTGGATGTCTCATTGATATTTTTAATTACATAGTGTTTTATATATAATACTGTAAGAGACTGAGCTAGTTGTAGAAATGTAAAAGATCGAGTTAGTTATAGAACTGTAAGAGACAGGGTTAGGTATAGAAATGTAAGAGGCTGAGTAGCTATAGAACTGTAAGAGACAGGGTTAGTTTTAGAACTTTAAGAGACGGAGATATTGATAGAACTGTGAGAAAATGAGTTAGTTTTAGAGCTGTGTAGGACTGACCCACTTTCTGCCACGTATTCTCAGACATATGACTTGAATCACGATGGCCGAGTGTCCAGACAGGAATACACCAATCACATCCTGGACAATTACGGCCATGACCCCCAACTGAGGCATCTCCTGCATTCCCTCTATGACGGCCTGGACGTCAACAACGACCACCATCTGGACAACGTAGATTACAACCGGGCGTTCACTGTGGCTGACCACAACGGCGACAACCTGGTCACTCCAGCAGAGTTTACGAGGTAACGCCCCCCCCCGCTCCCCCCAAACCCCCATCCACATACACTAATCTCGGCTTTTGCATCACTTGCATGACTCTCCGAATAATTCACTCATGGTCGGATATTCTCTAACGCTAAACCACGTCAACGCGTGCAGATTATATTTTAAGAGATTAGCACCGTAATCATTATGATATTTTTTGTATTTTAATCATACAAATTGACGAGACTTTATTTTGTGTACACTTGGTGACAGTGAATCGTTTTCTGATTAAACAAATCTCTTGCCTCATTGCACGTTAAATTAGATCTAACAGACTTGCTGTAACAGTAAAACAGATTGTCAAGTGGTATTCAAATTGTTTGTAATAGTCACCCCATACAATGGGTAGACTACTTTTTTATTTTTACAAACTTGTACGAGTTACAATCCCTAACGAATATGACAAATTAATTAAATAATTTCGTTAATCAATGATATGAAATATCTTCACTAATATTGTTTATTATTTTTATTTTTTTTAAAAACGTTTGTCTGAAGCTTATTTAGGCTCGAACATTTGAACGCACAACGTCATTAGGACGCAAGACGTCATTTGGACGCAAGACGTCATTAGGACGCAAGACGTCATTAGGACGCAAGACGTCATTAGGACGCAAGACGCCATTAGGACGCAAGACGTCATTAGGACGCAAGACGTCATTTGGACGCAAGACGTCATTTGGAAGCAAGACGGCATTAGTACGCAAGGCGTCATGAGGACGCAAGACTCTTTGGGAAGCAAGACGTCATTAGGACGCAAGACTCTTTGGGAAGCAAGACGTCATTAGGACGCAAGACGTCTTTGGGACGCAAGACGTCATTAGGGCACAAGGCTTTCCATGATTCCTTATCCCGTGTTGACTTTCTCGAAGTCAATGAGCGATAAGCTCACAGTCATATGACTTCTCAAACTTGGTGTCTATCTAACATTACTTTTTACGTCAAAACTCATTGAGTAGGTCACCAGTTACAAACAAAGTAAATCCTTTTTTTTTCTTTTTTAAACAAATCTTATCTTCTTCAAATCTGTCCAGGTGGTTCTCTGACGGCGTGCAAGCGGCTGCTGCAGGCCTGAAATAGACAGGTGAAACATCTTACCTTTGTGGGACAGAACAGCTCGTGTGTTGGTTTCGTTGCGGTCTGTCCTTAAAACTAAAATGTGATGATACTTTAAATCAACTTGTCAACAACAAAACAAAAAAAAAACGATATGGCCTGATAAATAAATCATTCGCGCCAATGATCTCTGCAATTGTATGCACCGAAATTATAATATAATTTATTGTGATGACAGCAACACTGTTGTCCGCCTAAGAACCGCTGGATTGCTTGTTTTTTTCCTTTGTTTTGTTTGGTTTGGTTTGGGTTTTTGTTGTTTGTTTTTTTTTTTTTGGGGGGGGGGGGTTTGTTTTTTTTTAAATTAATTTTTTTTGTTTTTTTTATTTTTTTTTTGTGGTTNTCTGCAGGGATTCGCCAGTGGGTGGCGGTCGTATGTCTATAATATTAAAACCCGTGTTTTTTTTGTTTTTTTTTTTTTGTATATGATGCTGCCTCCATTCATTTTACTCAAAACACAGCATGGAAAGTGGTGTTGAGTGACAATTGGAGTGGACTTGGGGAGGTTGCGAAGTGAAAAATAAAAAAAACGGTGGTTTTGGGGGGGGGGGGGGGGGGTGGGGGGGTTGAGGGTGAGTGCGGGTTGAGTTGGCCCGGACGAGCGATATTGTTGTGTCAACATGATTTGTTCGTTAAATGGCCTTACATGTCCAAACATTTTTTTTTGCCTACCCATCACCAGATGACCGGGGTCAAAACAACCACACAAAAATGATGGACGCACGAGGAGTTGGTGGATTACCACTGTTGAGCGTGAACTCTCAAGTTTCATTTCGACTTGTCGTCTTTTAAGACCTGACATTGCCATAAGCTGAAAACTTTAACATTATTGATGACAATAGATTTAGTTGACCTAATGTCCTGAGCCTCGAACTCTTTCATCTTTCGCAAGTCCAAATGGTTGGTTCATCTCTAATTTTGTTTCTATATCTTCTTGATGTTTGGGTTTGTTTTTGTTTTTTTGTTTGTTTGTTTGTTTGTTTTTTTTTTGTTTTTTTTTGTTATTGTTGTTTTTTAAGTGTGCGTGTGAAAAATAGAAATGACGATGTTAATGATGTTGGCTGGACAGAAGCTGTGTTAAGTCAAATATTTTTTTCTAAACCGTCAACTATTTCGTAATGACCCGCTTGTTGAGAGTAAGTTGACTTTTAAAGTAGACCGGTGCCAACTTGTAACAGTGTACACGCCCTTTTTTGTCTACCTGTTTCATTGGTATTGCTAACGTAGCTCATGTTCGAATTCACACCATGACAGACGTTAGCCCCAATGTGTGGTCCGTGACTACCTACCACCCCCGCCTCGGCACTCCCCGGGCACCAACGATTAGCCCCCGACAGCAGCAGCCCGACTCCGGTTTCCCCAACCTATTGCGGGGAGCTAATCCACGACAAGTCGACAGTACCTGAAAGAGATGTCCGCCCCCCCCCCAACACCGAAGCCTCTCAGGGTGCCAGCGAGAACGGGGGGGGGGGGTGTGGGGGGTTTTGTTTTGAAATGAAATATGGCCAAACACCGAAGCCTCTCAGGGTGCCAGCGAGAACGGGGGGGGGGTGTGGGGGGTTTTGTTTTGAAATGAAATATGGCCGCGCGTCGAAGGGGGCCCACCTTCAAAACAGCTTTGGTTATTTTCAAATCACATGAGACCCCCTGAATACATGCCAGGCAGGGCCGACAAGTTGTCAAGCTTTCTGTGGCTCAACGTTTCCAAGCATTTCATTCTCATCTTCTTCAATGGTAGGGGGAGCTTGGGTGGCAACGCAGGGGGGTAGGGGAGGAGGGGGGGTTCTAACGCCAGCTTGTGACAAACTCATCTATTTGACTTATTAAGTTCAAGAATTGTTTACATGACTAAAGTGTCTTCTCAGCATGGCACTACAGACCAATGTGTTGGAATGGGGTTGGGGGGGTTAATCCGATACTTAGTAAATGTAGTTCATGAACACCGGAGAAGGAAAGGCCTTAAAAATGACAAATGACGTGGGATTAGACTAATCCGTTTAATTCAGCTGAGCAGACATCGTCACTCGGTGACGGATACATTTACATATATTATTTTGGACCAGTGTTGTGAAGTGATGATGAATGTATCATTCAACATGAATATTGGCGGCATGAACAGCTGTTTTGTACACAATTTTGACGACACAATTGATGGAAACGGGGGGGGGGGGGGGGGGATTCCTCCAAGCTGGTTCCGGAACTTAAACTTCAGCCATTCACCGCACAAAACCGGAGACTCCAGGCCATTTTGTTACGGTGGGCTTTGATGTTCATCAACGAAGTCCACGAACCTGACCAGTATTAAACAGTAATAGATTGCACTGCTCCCCTTATGTGGCCTACCCCATTCTGAGCGCCCTCCGGACAATTTTTAACATACGTGGACATAAGCTGGACATCATAATTTATCGGGAACGATTTGAAACAGTTTAGATCGATTGTTATTCGATTTTTTTTCTTTGATACTTCCTGGTTATGCAATACATTATTTTTTTAGGTGGCTTTATATAGCGCATACTCCAGCACAGGGCGAGGCTCACTGCACTTCACATAAAAATTAGCAATTACTTAAACATATACATTTAAAAACAATTGGTGAAAACCTTGACGTCACCACTCCAAGTCCATCTACCCTTGCCCAGCCATGGTGAAGCAGAAAGCTAAATATGTGATGCCACGAGAAGTCTGAAGGGGGAACATTAAATATGTGATGCCACGAGAAGTCTGAAGGGCTGACCTATAAAAGGGAGATGATTGAGAGCAAGGTTCCCTTGCATCTTTGAGACAACTCTAGTGACCCAAGGTAAAGACGGGATTAAGTCGGTATCCTAAAGGCTATAACTTGTATTACTTGTTAAGCTTGTAACAGTTTCTTCTTATTATTATATTTGAGGGGCCCACGATCAATTTGTTGATCATTCTGGCTCCTGGTTTAAATTCAGAGTTTGCCTTCTCTTAGATGGGTTGCCGTCCAGAGCTAGCGAGTCCCATCCATCCCATTCTTTATAGTACGATAAAAAAAAATATTATGCATTTAGTTTGTATAGTCAGTTAAAATAGTTGGCTTAAATATGTGGATCATCTAGAGAGGTATATAGTTGGTTTAGTGTATATAGTTAGTTTAATTTATACAATTATTTGATTTTATTTGGCTAGTTTAGTATATTTATTTAGTTGAGTTTATATAGCTAGTTTAGTTTATATAGCTATTTTAGTTTATAAAGTTAGTTTAGTTTATACCGTTAGTTTAGTTTATACCGTTAGTTTAGTTTATATAGTTAGTTTAGTTTATACAGTTAGTTTAGCTTTTACCGTTAGTTTAGTTTATACCGTTAATTTAGTGTATATAGTTAGTTTAGTTTATATAGTTAGTTTAGTTTATATAGTTAGTTAAGTTTATATAGTTATGTTAGTTAATAATGTTAGTTTAGTTTATATAGTTAGTCTAGTTTATACCATTAGTTTAGTTTATACCATTAGTTTAGTTTATATAGTTAGTTTAGTTTATATATTTAGTTTAGTTTATATACTTATGTTAGTTACTACAGCTAGTTTAGTTTATATAGTTAGTTTAGTTTATACCGTTAGTTTAGTTTATACCGTTAGTTTAGTTTATATAGTTAGTTTAGTTTATACCGTTAGTTTAGTTGATACCGTTAGTTTAGTGTATATAGTTAGTTTAGTTTATATAGTTAGTTTAGTTTATATAGTTAGTTAAGTTTATATAGTTATGTTAGTTAATACAGTTAGTTTAGTTTATATAGTTAGTTTAGTTTATACCGTTAGTTTAGTTTATACCGTTAGTTTAGTTTATATAGTTAGTTTAGTTTATATAGTTAGTTAAGTTTATATAGTTATGTTAGTTAATACAGTTAGTTTAGTTTATATAGTTAGTTTAGTTTTTACCGTTAGTTTAGTTTATACCGTTAGTTTAGTTTATACCGTTAGTTTAGTTTATACCGTTAGTTTAGTTTATATAGTTAGTTAAGTTTATATACTTATGTTAGTTACTACAGCTAGTTTAGTTTATATAGTTAGTTTAGTTTATACCGTTAGTTTAGTTTATACCGTTAGTTTAGTTTATATAGTTAGTTTAGTTTATACCGTTAGTTTAGTTGATACCGTTAGTTTAGTGTATATAGTTAGTTTAGTTTATATAGTTAGTTTAGTTTATATAGTTAGTTAAGTTTATATAGTTATGTTAGTTAATACAGTTAGTTTAGTTTATATAGTTAGTTTAGTTTATACCGTTAGTTTAGTTTATACCGTTAGTTTAGTTTATATAGTTAGTTTAGTTTATACCGTTAGTTTAGTTTATGCCGTTAGTTTAGTTTATATAGTTAGTTTAGTTTACACCGTTAGTTTAGTTTATATAGTTCGTTTAGGTTATACCGTTAGTTTAGTTTATACTGTTAGTTTAGTTTATATAGTTAGTTTAGTTTATACCGTTAGTTTAGTTTATACTGTTAGTTTAGTTTATATAGTTAGTTTAGTTTTTACCGTTAGTTTAGTTTATACCGTTAGTTTAGTTTATACCGTTAGTTTAGTTTATACCGTTAGTTTAGTTTATATAGTTAGTTAAGTTTATATACTTATGTTAGTTACTACAGCTAGTTTAGTTTATATAGTTAGTTTAGTTTATACCGTTAGTTTAGTTTATACTGTTAGTTTAGTTTATACCGTTAGTTTAGTTTGTTTAGTTAGTTAAGTTTATATAGTTTAGTTTAGTTTAGTTTATATAGATAGTTTAGTTGAGTTTGTATAAAGACAAAATATGAAAGCACGCAAACTCTTTTCAAAATGTTTATATATTGTATATCCCTTTTTATCCTCTTCATCCATTCAATATATCTCCATTACCTCTTCTACCCCCACTACCCTCTATAACTTCCATGGCGACCATGGTTCTCACTCACTCACTCCCACAGCGCTCAAGTCCATTTCCAAATCACCGCTTCTTATCCTCTTGGTCGCTCTTCTGTCTCTCTCTCTCTCTCTCTCTCTCTCTCTCTCTCTCTCTCTCTCTCTTGTTTTTTGATGTCGACATCTATATGTCTCTCTCTCTCCTTCTCTTTCCCTCTCTCTCTCTTTCTTGCTCTCTCTCTCTACATATATATATATATATGTGTGTGTGTGTGTGTGTGGCCTGTGTTTGTATCTCTTTCTCAATCGTTATGTACCGTTATTTAACTCTTAACAACGACT